ATAAAACTTTCTTTTATTTTCGTTTTCATTCACTTTACTCTATGGTAAACTATGTCATGTCACTAGATTATTTATTAGCCAACCACATTCCTATAATTCGACACGAAACGTGATTGCGTGAATATTTATGAATCTTTCATACCAAAAACTAATTTTGATCTAAAAGATAAGATGATAGATTCTCTAAATTATAATTTACACAAGTCTGTTTATTAATTTCATCAAATCACCAAAGGAATATTATTTTAAACTTTCAAATGCAAAGACCAATGTGATGGCGTTTTAGGAAAAAAACATTTATACGCACTTCTCGAAAAGATATGACATGTGGCCAGTTGGCTCATTTAAATATTTTAAAAATAATATAACCTTTTTTAAGAGGGGTAGATCTTAGATGAAAAATCCAAAAGTTCCAGATAATATTACTGCGGCTTGCTCGACGCAAGGAAGAAGGATACATCAGCGGACCAGGAGAGATTCGTTGCGGCATCGGTATATTGTGGAATTACCATGGTTTATCTTCCTATTAATCTTGATATTTCTCTTTGTACGGATTTGATCTTGTAAAGTAAGAATGAAATTACGTTACATATTCGTAAATAATTATATACAGTTTTCATTTTCGATATATTACAGACAACTAACAACACACACACCTCTCGTCTGCAACCAAACACACATTGGAGATTTTTCGTAGGGAAAAAATATATTCCTATATTTTTAGACTCAATTATAATTGAATAGTTATATAATCGACACTGTCTGTGACACGGAGCAACGGTTTGGAAAGTGCAGGTTGTTGCGCGGTTCAAGTGCCGAGAGCGTGGCGGTTAGTTGGGTGCAAGCTCTCGGAATGCCACCTAGCAAGCGCGGAATTCGTTGTAACGGCCAAAACAAATTTAAAGACCCTGTGATAGTGCTGCGATCTATTGAATTTTCCTACAAGTATTTTTCGGTGCATTTAGCCTTAATGCTACTCGACTGGGACCAATTAATTGAAACAATAATATGTAAGCCTAATGAAAATTATTTTTAAATGTCTTCATTTTTGTGTATCCCGACGTTTGTGATTCTCCCCACACACTGTCTTTAAGAATTAAAATAGAATCTCTCAAGTATAGTGTTATGTATAGATTTAGGGCATCTACAAAACTATGAGTTAAAATGAAAAGAAATATGACTAACACAGTAGATTAAACAAACAAAAAATAACAAATATGTGGCAGGAACATCAATAACCTATTATATTTATGTAATTTATTATAACAGTGGCAAATCGCATTATATATAATATACTTTGAAATAATAATGTATTGACGGCACAGAAGAATTACACTTCCTTCACTCACAATACTCAGTAACATTGTTAACATAGCTTCGTATTTATACATAATTTACATTTGGTCATGAAGCAGTTCTTTCCCAAAGTGCAAAAAATGAACATTTGCAGGGCTTGGTTGAAATTAAATTTGTAGCAAAGACCTGTACAAGAGAGACTATTTTTCATTACAAGCCATTTAGGTATACAACAGAATTAAGGTACATAATACACCCAACATGACTAGCCTCTACAATCACACACCACAGTATGTAACACTCAGTCCCTCAAAGACTTAAATTGAAGTCAACACACTCAGAAATTTGAATAGACTTAGTCAATGTATGGACAAATCATCACAATAATACAATATAATTACCTTGATTCACAAGTAGGTTTTGCATTAAACTATGAAATATAGATTTTGATATTGTAAATTTTTCAATTTGTAAATAAACAGAACATTCAAACAGAAATATATCTGAATGTATGTAATGGGGTACAATACACCACAAACAACTACAACGAGGTGAAAAACTGAAGCAAGCAATAAACAAACAATGTTGTTAAGGAAAAGACAAAATAGAGTACTGAAGAATGGGATTAAATTGAAGTATTTTTCAAGTTTTACCTAAAGTCTTGAAATACAACTGACACAGACTTACCAATTCCATTTTCTCACAGATCACCAAACATTACCCAACCAGAGCAACTAAATATACACATAAACACACATTTATACAAGAAAATGTGGTCTTTTTCAGTATTTATCATTCTTCATCAAAAAAAACTGCATCACTCAATATACAAAGCACTTCAAAATGAACATTGTCCCAGACCTTAGAACACACTGCTTTCATTATTCTAATAATGTATCTCTAATGACTGTTTCAGTCATTCTACAGTAGGTACTTGTATATTTGTGCACCGTTTTACCTTATACAAACATTCTTTCAATTTATTGTCTTTTGGGACAGTTTCAAAGAAATTTACAGATATAAGAATCAACAAACAACTAGCACCAGCACTAACCTGTACAATCCATTATTAGTGTTATGTAGGAATATAAGACACTTTTTTATCAACCAAAAAATCATAAGAAAACAATTTTTCAAACATGAGTATCTCAGACTTTTTGATTTAAATAAAATTTTTTTTGAATGGCACTTGAAAAATATCACAATTTATGTTTGTGTAGTGATCAATCATAAATTTTTTTAAAGCCAAATGTTATGACATGACATATTTTAATTATTAGAGTGCAGAAGGAGGCTATTACGCTTAAAAGTTCTTGAATTTCACCCTTCAAAATTGAGATTCATTAGAAAGCATGGAGAAAGAAAAAAACAACAACAATGAAATCAATAAATGTAATAAAGCTATGGAAACAAATTAAATTTCATGAAACATTCATATTCAATTCTGTCTCAAAACAAAGTACATTTTTCAAAAGAAAATTTTGAAAAGAGTCTATAAGGCAACATCAGAAAAACAAGTATTATTTTGTGTTAGGTAAGAATGTTTGCTATAGCTATTAGAAAAGATCTTTCCCATCTTATTGGCAAATATGTAACAATTAAGCATACAGTTCTAATAATGCATTACAAAGGTTGAGTTCTGAACTTAACAGTTTAGTTCATAATAAAATAGTCATGTCTAACAGCACAACTGCACCAATTCATTTTTACAAATTTCATTTTCCCACTGACATTACATTTCCTCTTTCATAGTTTTTTGATTTTTTTTTACATATATGACCCAGCGGAAAGTTGCCTCAAAAAATCAGTCATTTTTTACACCTTACATGAGCATATTTTAAAATCGTGTAAGCTGCGGCTTAGGCATGCAACAAAAGTAAACCCCTCCATATTTATGCAATACTTTCCCAAATCAATAAAAATGGCAAGTTTTCATGTACATCAATATATTCACTTGTTAAACACCATCAAGGGATCTTCAAAGGATTGTACCTTCTGTGCTGAAGAAGGCTTAGTTCCTTGACTTCTGCTACTACTAGTTCGTTTAGAAAATAAATCATCTGTAAAATATAAAACATTATTTTCAAAATACATTTTTATTTTACACTTATTCCTATTTTTGTGTGTTCATTTACGATATATAAAACATTGATCATTTCTAGCAGTTCAATGGAAATCATAACATGCAGTTCACAGGAAATCATAACTTGTAACTGTAGAATAGTTTTGTGAAGAAAAGTAAATATATAAAACTAGCAAGAAAATATTTCTCAAAAAATGAAGGAGACAAAAAATTAAGTAAATAAATATTTTGAACTCTTACATACCAGTATCTGCATCAGCATTCTGCGGTGCAATTTCCTCTTTGGGAAATAACGTTTCATTCCTTGGACCCCGATTTTTATTCAAACCTACTGTAAAAATGTCATCATCATCATCACCATCATCAAATAACGTTCCTTTTGAATCCTTAGACTTAGGCCCAGAAATTAAGTTTCTACTTGACCCAGACACTGACATTTTAGGCACACTTGAAGAACCAAATAAATCATCTGATTCAAGGGAGTCATCACCGAAGAGAGATTCTGCAAGAGGTTTCACTTTCTCTTGTGAAGTCACTGGTTTCTCTGTATTTTTCACTGAAGTATCAGACTTCACATCTTTGGAACTCACATTAGAAGTAAACAAATCTTCACTCTCTTCTTTATGAGTAGAGACACTAACACTTTCACGAAAAAGCTCTGAATTTGTATCACTACCTTTTTGATCTGTAATACAATTTTCAGGTGATTTAGGAGGAGGAACACTGAAATCTTTCTGTAAAGATTCATCTTCTGTGAAAGAAGAAAGAAAATCATCTGACGACAATTGCTTTTTTTGCTGGTTTTCATGTGAAGTATCAATAACAGGTGAAAAAAGAGGAGGCTTCTGAGAAATAATGTCAGGAAAAGTTCCTTTTTCAGTTTTCTTTCCAGATACAATAGGCTTCTTAGCAGATGAAAATAAATCGTCATCAGAACCATCATTACCATTATCATTAACATCATCTACATCATCAAACAAACCTCTATTACCACTCGATAAATCTTTATCAAGCCACTTTCGGTCAAACACATCCTCAGTCTTTGAAACAATAGATGGATTATTACTAACGCTTTTGTCTATAGTTCCTGCAGAAAAAGGAGGCACAAGACCTTTAAACAGGTCATCGTTTTTCCTTGAACTGTCCTGGGTTTGTTGAAGGTCACTATTTTCACTTCCTTCCATTCCTTCTTCATCAGCTACACATGTTGCCTGGGAAGTAAAGCTCTCTGATCCAGTTTTTACATCCATAGGTGATAAAACTGGAGCACCTCCAAACAAATTTTTGCCATTATTTGACATTTCCTTGTTACTTGACTCATCAAATGGAAGTTCATGAGGCACAGCAAAGAGGTCTTCCTCATCAGTTAATGGAGATAGAGCACTATTCCCACCCAAACAGTCAGATAGGACGGCCTTGTATGTCTCATTTTTGGAAGGTAATGATTCTGTGACTGACAATTGGTCTTCAGTATTATTTTTTGGATATTTCTCAATGTCGCTGTTTGTAGATTTTTCAACAAGCAATGACACATTTTCATTTTCTGGCACCAACACTTTTGGATGAGAGTCTTTTACAGGAGAACTAGATGAGGCACTAGAGGAAACCACTCCATTATCATTTTTAATATTTGAAATCTGTGATATTAGAGCTGCATCAATATTATCATAGTCTATAGATGATGCTCTTAATGCTTCTTGACGTGCCCGTCGAGTTTGTGGCCTTCTTTTAACCTGAATTTTCACACGTTCCTGAAATAAAGGGAAATGTTTATTATACCTGTATCTTCTAATAATCAAAGCTAAAATCTACAATACAATAGTGCCTATTGCTATATTTTTTTTTATATCTGAATTGTAATTTAGTGTATTTTAATCAGAATACATCATTAAACCAAGTACAAAAATAGATCTGAACTTCCATGAATGAAAGTGAAAAAGATTTATACTTTATAAAATTTTATAACATTTATACGTTTATAAAACATGTAAACAAATGTTTATACATTTTATAATACATTTTTTAAATAAGAAAAAAATAAAACACTCTCTTCTTCAAAATTACTTCTCTGTTCCTTTAAAATTTTGAAAGGGAAAAACTGACTATAAACATGCATTTGGAGTTTTTAATTGCTCATATATCATTAATAAAGAAAATTGTTGCAGGAAAAAGTGCCCATTTTTCAACATAATAATTTTTATGGATCCTGCTAGAGAAAAATGGTTGTTGTTTGTTTGTTTGTTGTTTTTCTTCTTCCTCCTATATTTTATTACTATACTATATTACTACTATATTACTTTTCCGATGAGTGACAGAGTCAAAATACATGTTTTGCGGATCATTGATAATGGAAAACTGTTTTTGCTCAAAACATCTATCATTTGGTCCACTAGTCATGGCACCATGACACTACACCCAGATCCACCCTTGGCTAACAGACATGGTGTACTGTGTTTCAAACTGTTTAATACAGCGCCATTTGCTCAAAATTGCTGAAGTGTTAGAAGTAGATACTTTGAAAAATAATGATTAGGCGTTTACCTAATCAATATGAATGGTTCACAAAAGTATGTATCATGCTGTACTAGTTTTAATAGTGATTCAGTGAAACTTTGTCTGTTACTAAATGAATCTTAAATGTTCATATTGGCTCAGATATAACAAAACATTGTACACAGCTTTGTAATGGTATTCAATAAATCAACAATAACAAGTAATTAATTTGCATTTATTCATAGTAAAGCTTACAGCTACTCACCCTCACACCTACCCCTGTATGAACCTAACTAATACCAAAATTTAATGGGTTCCTGACGATAGAAGCAAGGTTGTTTCTATTTTCACAGGAGGAAAATGGAAAGATATGTAAATAATTTACAATTAATAAAAATAATAAAATTTATGAGAACTTAAAATATCCTTTTAAATTTAATCTTAAACCATTATTTTTCTGATTTATATTCATTTATATAAACATCAAAGAATGAATATCAAGAGATCCATTTAACTTCCCATTTTTTCTTGAATTTAGGCCCCTCTCAATTATAAGCTCTCCTCAGTTTTGGATGAGAATTTCAGAAACTTTCGTATGTATTTCATACATTATTCATTGCAATAAAGTTGTTTAAAAACTGCTAAATTCCTGCCATTGCATGCCAGTAAGATGTCATAAATTAAAATATCTAACCATTTGTAACATAGTTCGAAAATTAAGGGTCAATTTTTTAAAAATTATTTCACTTCATTTCAAGATACAGCAAAAGCCTGTTATAGAAGCAGGCAAAGATCCACGGGGAGGGGGAAAAAAGGGAAATTTCTCCCACTAAATTTTTCTAACAGTAACTATTAATTTTAACTTGCCATGAGACTTTCAAACAAAAATATTTTCAGATTTTCATTAAAATGGATAAAATCATATTGCAGCATGAGCTGCGTGTAGCCTGCAACATTTTATAAAATCCATAATATGACATATTTGACAAAAGCATTTTAATTTCCCCTCTCTGGATCTGCTCCTGTAGGAGAATTCCACTTATAAGAGACAAAATTCCCTGTCCTGAGTTCAGTTGTATATAAACAGTGCATTTAAGAGACCTCATTATAAAAAGACTCCCACATATTGTGGACAAGATTTTACTCCCAGTCATGTGTTTCTTCATGCATTTAAGAGACAAAGAATTGAATTTTCTCCCAGTGACTCCGGAATTTCGTCAGCATGGAAAGGGTTTGGGCAAACTATATTACAATAGACTGAGCAGGGTTTTGCAGCACTAGCATCACTAGGTGCTGGAGGGGGGAAGGGGGAGGAGTTCTCTCGAGGAAACCTCAGTCTGTACGCTTCATGTCTCTTGGCAATAAGGATGTCACACCAGTGCCTACATGTTTTCAATTGGTTTTAGTGCTATGGAGCTGTTTTCTGCCACATTTAAACATAATTTTATTTTACTTTAGAGCTTTCAATCAGTTACATCATCACTATGTGGGCAATTTTGCATGGGCATTCATTAGTACTATGTGTGTGAATTTGAAGGTTCAGTTTCATGTTTTGGTTTTGACTTCTACGGATCGGTGAGTGATGGGATTGAATCAAAAGGTTTTGTAGTTAGCCGAAAAGTTGGGTGAGCCAGAGGAAAAACTTGATATGGAAGAATACGGAGACTTGAAAGCAGGTTTAACATTTGAAGGATATGTTACTGCAGATGAGAAGTTGCAACTAAAAGGCATGATATCTATTTCAGATCTCTGTGAAAATCAGAACAATCGTGATGAAGATGTAGATGACAATCAATGAGTCCACCACTATTTCACAAAGTGAAGCAGTAGTGATGGAGTCAGTTAGGAACTTATGTTAAATAAAGGTGCTTCAGTTTCTACAATAACTGCAATTAATTTTGCTGAAAGAATTACTGACAATGAGAGCTCATAGCAAGCACATGATTATAACTTCCTATTTTTAAAAAAAGTTTTAGATTACTGAGCAGATGTAAATACAGCTGTAAACAGTTGTAAATTGTAAATACTAGTAGTAGTTGTAAATATTGTACATACTTTTGCCTCCCAAAATCCAACCCAACGTCCATGCCGTGGGAGGTAGGCAACAGAAAATTGAGTTATATATAGAAAGAATAGTAATAAGTATATAGAAAGAATAGTAACAGGTATATAGAAAGAATAACAACAGGCATTATCTCATCTTTCAACAGGATTTTGCTGTACATTGAAACTCAAAAGATCTGGCTCGCTAAATGGGCTCTGATATCAAGAAATTGATGTTTTCTTTAGTTTAAAATAGTGCACAAATTGCCATTAAAAATATTGTAACACTTCACAAAATATATGAAAAACTCATTTCCCACTTATAAGAGACAAATTTCCATCCATTCCTGCAGATGTCTGCTATAACGGGGTTTCGCTGCCTATTAGTCCCCCTCCATTTTTTTATGCCAATTTTTGGAAAGAAAGGGAGACTTTTATTTCAGAATTTCTTATAAATGGTATATCTACAATAACATCTCAAAACATCTTTTAAAACATTTACATCATAAAAATAAATAATATTTTCCAGGTCATCCACAAAACTAGCTCCCCCTCCCTCCTTTTTTTTCCTCTCATCACTAGCACCACCTGTTTCCTTCAAAGGCATCACCAAATTGAAGACAAATTTAACTAAGCATTCAAAAGTGGTAGGTGGTGGAAACAAGACTTTCCTGAGTTATGGGATTATTGTGTCAATTGGTTTATCATCCAATCTTGATAGCAAACTATCAAGATTAAGTTTTAAAATTAAGGTCTGTATAAAGGCAAATCTTTGAAATATTAGAACATATATTATCTTTATAGGGGCACTCCACAGTCATAAATTGCTTGAACTGAAGTAGTCCTAAGATAAACAAAAATTTTAGAAGTGAGCACTTAGAAATAGACATCTTATGCAATGAAAATACTGTACTTGTACAAGCATAACAAGAAGGGGAAAATTGACTCTCAAAGGCACAAGTTCAAGTTCTGATTTAAATTATTTTTAAAAATTAAGAAATTAAAATACATTTTAACACCAAAAACAATGCAAGATCCATTTCTTTTAAGGAAAAATAAAATTACTCCAAAAGTTGTCCTCTTATGTCAAATTTGTGACACTCCAACTTTCTGTCATACAAAGGTATATTACTCAGATGCAATTCCTCTATTTCTGCATAAAATTATATAAAAAATGGATCTGCGGTATCTTAAATATTTATTTTCATCATTAACATCATATGTTGAAAGAATTTTAAATTGTATATAATATGCAAAAATAATTGCTTACACTGAACAAGTGTCAAATTGAGGAGGCTTCTTTGACACATTAACTATGTATTTTGCAAAATGTAGGTCAATTACAATCAACTTTTGGATTCACATGACAAAGAATAAACTTCTGAACTATATAACTTGATTGATGTAAATTATAATTTTATCCTAATAAATTCTAATCAACTACTAATTTATACCTTTGCAGCACTGTGCAGTGTAGAAGTTGTTTCTGCAGGTTTGTCAAATCCAATTGCACCATCTGACGTAACAGTCATGGTTGGTGGCTTTGCACCAGGCAGCAGAGTTCTGGGATCAATGCGTAATTTACTTGGACTAGAGATAGTCTTATGTGGTTCTCTTACAACTGAATGATTTGCATCTGCAAAATTCAACAACATATATTTGCAATTCTCTTGATTTTCAAGATTCTTGGGAATAAGGTATAAAGGGTACAGATGGAGGATACAACGTATATGAAATAATTGCTCACCTGCGACAGAGGAGATTCGTTCTTTGCTGATTTCTGGAGAATTACTTGCGCTATGTTCTTGAGATAGACTGCTCATAGATGCCGTGTTTGCTGTATGGGAGTTGAAATCTTCAAGTATTTTGCTGAAATTACTAGAACTAAGAGAATTATTCCTTAATGGCTCATTATTAGCATTCTCTTTTCCTAATGAAGACTTCTCTGACCATGAGGATTCAAACAAATCATCTTCATTGGATGGAATCCTAAACACTATATCAGTAGTTTTACGAATATTAAGTGTTCGTGGAGGTTCTGGTTTTATGTTAGACGTAGAGGTTTGATTATCACCAATATTAACACCTTCACTCACACCTACTGTTTTAGGTTCATTATCATTTGGATTAATATTGGTAATCTTTTCCGCATCAGTGGAACTAGTTTTTGTAAACTTCTGACTATTTTCCACACTTTCAATTTTTAGCTCATTAGAGGTCGATGAAGAATCTGAATTTGTCTGAACTGAAACTGCTGAAGGAGGTGGTTTTATTGGCACCTTTGGTTTCTGACTTATTTGGGGCTTGACATTCTTGGTCTCATCCTTTTTCTTTTCCTCTTCATTTTCTACCTCAGCAGAATGAGAAACAGAATCACTTGAAAATAACAAAGCTGTATTGTCTCCAATCCATTCAGAACTAGTTTTCGCAGATACATTTCCAGACACGTGCGACTGAGAGGGTGGTTCTGTTTCAGATACAAAATCAGGTTTTTTATTTTCATTTGTAGTATTGGAAAATATATTTTCATTTGAAGCATCAGAAAATAATGACAATTTTTCCAAATTAGCTTGTGAAGTTTTACCACCATAAGTATGTGTCTTCTCTACACTGATTTTGGGAACTGCAAATATGTCATCCACTTCATCTATATCATCAAATATACTTGAAGCCCCTTTCTTACCAATTGCTGAACTATCACCAATTACATCATTCCCGTTGAAAATATTGTCTTTGGCAACTAGATCACTTTTAGATTTTGGATCATTTTGACTACTAAATATGTCAACATCAGGATCATCTTTGCTCACAGCACCAAACAATAAGCTATCTTCAAAGAGCCCTTTCTTGGGAAGAATCCTTCTCTCAGCACCACTCCCAAGAAAATCACCACTTCCTTGAGATCTGCGTGAGCGAGAACTAGTAGAACTAGTGGATGAAAACAATAGTTCATCCTCTCCAGAGTCTGAATCTTCAAAGAGACTCGTTGTTTTCTTTGTTTTGGGTTTAAAACTTGAAGCAGTAGATATCTTGGAACCAGATATACTGCAAAAATAGTTAATAAAATAAATAAATTTCCACAGAAATATTATTCTCCTTCATAAACCTTGCTACTGGCAATCTTATTAACAATATCAATACAAAAGTCAACAATCAGAAACTTTGGTACTTAATATATTAGAATAAAACTCTGACAAAATCCAAGCTAAAACATTTTAAAAAATACAAAGTAATATGTGGGGAAAAAAGAGAGAGAAAAAAAACAACAGAATATGAGCATGTTCAATCGACAAAAAGAATTTGGCGGCAGAAAAAGAGCTAGATAAACACTTTAAAATATCCACATACAAGCCAAAGAATTGTCATTATCCTCTTCTCTCAGATAAGGCTCTAATTCTCTTGTTGAAAGCTAAAAAGCTTGAAGAGAAAGATTTGTCATTTCCAAGTATCTCTGATAGAGAGCAAGCAAGATGGTAAGATCAGTTTTGCAGTTATCACAAGTAGGGGTATGGGCAGAGAAGATATGCATGGGAGGAATGGCAGTGACCAATTCAAAGGCTTCTCAAAATAATCTCATCGCACATAGAGCCAGAAGATGCAAAAGACCAAGGATTAATGGAATCCTTGATTTTCATAGGCTTAAAATCTGAGTTCTGCCACTTTGTGAAAATGAGCTACTAAGAATAGAGGATTTGATAAACAGCTTGGTATCATTCATAGGGACTGTGAGGATATCTACCTGGGTTTTCTTTGTGGCAAGTTTTGCTGCTTGGACAGCTATTTCACTTCCTGCTATTCCCACACAGCCAGGGACTCACAAAAACAAGCTATAGCGACATACCAACAAATAATGGATTTGTTGTTGAATGTTCATTGTCGAACAGTCACCACAAGGCAAGACGGAAGAGGTGGATTTGAGAGAGCTTTTGGAATCACAGCAGATTACCACTTAATGGCATCAATTCAGCAAATGAAGTACCTCCACAAGTGCATATTTCTCTGCTATATTGGCTACATGAAGAGTCTATTTGAAAACTCCGCATGGCACTTCAGCAATAGAAGGCACATCATATTTTGACATTTTGGGAGGAACCATCAGTGTAGATGAAGTTATAGCCAGGATACATGGATTTCATCTCCTGAAATTTCATCAGAAAGTACTGGTCAGAGTTGAGGATTTAGGGAGGTTTGACAATTTCAGGACTGTTATGGGCTGGAGAAGTTTCGAAGATGAAACAAGACTTCGAGGGGGGAAAGGGGATGGGCGAGTAATTTTATATTCAGCTTCTGCAAAAATGTATCGAAAGAGATACCCAGGGAATGGGGTAACGATGGTCAGATGTTCAGTAACTTGGATGAAGGATTGCTTGGTATTATGGAGTATTTATAAAGGATAACTTCATACCATAGGTGCAGATCAGAATATTTCCTCTTCGATTCAGGGATGGTTCACTAGCCTCAGTCAGGGAACATTTGATGTGACTTAGGCATCTGTATACCTCCACATACCAGTATTATGTATGGTATTCAATGCAATATGCATAATGTGAAATTTGACAGATGATGGGCCTATACGAACGCAAGAGACTTACTCGATCCGTACCGCATTAGCTACCAGCGAGAGTGCGAAAGAGGTTCTACAGTGATACACATGAGCTCTTCAATTTACAAATGTGTTTTCGCCATGTTATGCTCTTGTCAAATATCAGGACAAAAAAAGTTACAGATTCAACAATGTTGATTACCCCCAAGAAAAAATTCACTATGATTATAGAGGTGATGAATCCTGCAAAGTGCATGCAGTTGGATTTTGAAGCAGAAAATTTGAATCCAGTTTAATCACTCCATTCTTGCTGTTTGTTGAGGATAAATTGCAACTGCCTCTCAACATCTTGCAAGCTCTTGGAGGTGCAAAAAATGGTGAAGGTGTCAACAAAGAGCAATGTTTTCACTGGCTGATGCTGTACCATTAACAGCAATGGCAAACAGGATCCTGTTTTCTAACTAGTGATTGGAGGATAGCTTGTCACCCAGGCAGACAGGTAAAGATCTTGAGAAAAGAAAGGCTACTAGAAACAATGGGAGCCATCCCGTGAGCCACAAAGATGTAAGGTGCAATGAATGCCATACCTCCAGGTGGTGTTATAATTATGCTTCCTCTATATCAAAGAAAATTGTGATTAGTTGTCATAGTACAAAAGAAGTGGAGATCTGGGTGGCAAGAGTGACTAGGTGGTCCATGGTTGCCCCATTCTTCCTGAAATCACACTGAATGGGTGTAAGTAGATTTCTTTTCTCTGGGGGCCAAACCAGACATGTGTTTACGATTCGTTCTAAAAGCTTACAAATAGTTTGTGAGCAAGATTGGGTTGTAACTTGTCAGATCTTTTCCTTCTTTGGGAAATGGAATAATAAAGGGTTTCATGCCAAATTCTAGGAATGGCAGGCTCAACCCAAATCTAATTGAATATGCGTGAAAGGAAAGAGCATGCCTTTTAAGGCAGATATTTCAGCATGTGACTATGTATATGATCTGGTCCTGGAGCAGAATCTTTTGCTTGAGCAAGAGCAGAGGAAAAATCATCCATTGTAAAAGGAGCATTATAATCTTCCACCAGGTTACTCAAAAAATCCAATCTTGCAGTTCTTCATTTTTCTTTTGGCATTCAGAAAGCTTGGATGGATCTGGACATTTGCTTGTAATGAGAGGCCAATTCCTCAACTACGTTTTCTGGTGAGGTGGGGAGATTCCCGTATGCCAGAAGCCCTGGGACAGACAGTAGGGAAGTCTTCCTTCAATCTGTTGCGCTTTCCACCATACTACTTTAGGGGGTATTGCATGAAAGTGAGGAAATATACGCTCCCTAGATGTAGCCTTATTTTCTGGTACAACCAATCCAGCACTGATTCAGGATCTTTTAAAATGTATCAATTTTCCAAAGTTGGAAACCTATTGAGCTTTGTCAGTGCCCACAAGTCAATCACAGGCTGCAGTGGCAGTCAGCATTCCACCATGGCACAGGGGGATTTCATGTAACACCCAACGCCATCGGGATGGCATCTGAGGCCGCATGAAGGACAGCATCAATAAAATGATATCATTTGGAAATTTTTCCCAATATTCGTATTTTTTTCTCAAATGTTTCCTACTCAGCTTAGATTAGTCAGCGAGGAGGGTAGGCAATGTTTAGATCAGGAACATCGAAATGCACCAGGATAGGGAAGTGGTCACTCTCATGCAGATCATCAAGAACAGTCTACTCAAAGATGGAGATGAAACGCAGGGAGACATATCTGTGGATGAGAAAATGTTTGAAAATGTGGAAAAAGTGTGTGTTTGCAAGTATTGAGAATTAGATTCTGTTGAGCAATTATATTTTCACAAGTATTACATCTCGGGAAGGACTTTCCGCCACCCTAGGCAGGGTTGTGGACAATCAATTCCACCAGATTAGAAAGGGTGTGGGCAACTGGAAAAACACATCTTCAATTTGTTCTTGTGACATGGCTTGTCCAGGAGGAATATACATTGCACAACATTATCGAAGAGGATGGTAGGTTTATCTGAACGCACATGGTTTCAGAAAACTCAGAGAACATGTACTGATAAGTACCGCAACACCACGATGATCATGAGGTTTGTTATCTTGATAGAGCTGGTAGGTACAAAACCCGTGAAGAAAAAGGGAATGATGGGGAGGAAGATGAGTTTCCGATGGACAATGGATGATTTCCTATGGACGATGAAGAGAGATTAATAACCTCAATTCTTCTTAATGTGCATGAAAACCATGAAAGTTCCATGAGATAGCCACGCTGGACAATTAATTCTTTTATTTCTTCTTTTTCCTTCTCAAGGTGCTAAAGGAACTCCCAAGGGGCTGCTCACCCACAGCAGAGTCATCCTGACTGCTACTGAAGATAGTCGCCTGAGTCAGGATGATTTCCTATTTTTTGACACAAGTTACGGACATCTAGGAGGCTGGAGGTCTGCTCAAAGTCTTTGAGGTAAGAGGAAGTGGACGGGTCTTCGAGGAGAAACATTTGTCTGGAAATGATCCATGACTGGCACCGACTACTACTAAAAGTTTTGGAGATGCAGAGGTTTTTTGTAAACATTGATGGCTGGTGAAGCTTTTTACTCAATTTCTTAATCTTGGTGGGTTCTATTATATTCTCATTTTCCAGGCATGATGTATCTTCAGGGAGGTCTATAAGAAACACATGACAACAAAAGTGAGCAACTAGGGTGAAATCAAGTTTTATTCAGCAACTCCATTACCCTCGAGGACTTAAGTCTTCACGGCAATGGAGAAGAATCATGACAGGCCTACTGGTTTCCTTGCCTAGGGCCAACATTTGGCCTCAGGGAAGGAAACCTTCTCAGTCAGCTATCTTCTGAATCTCCCTTCCCTGACAAAGGTAGAGCGCTGGTTGGAATTAGCCAGATGGTCACCTTCACAGTTGACTCAGTGCTGTGGTATAGAGTAGGATTATGGATCATGCATTGATGTACTGCATTTTCCACACACTAAGCTCTCTGACAGGTATCTTCGTTGGGTACAGCCGAATATTTGGCACTTGAAGCAGCATAAAGGATTAGGTACATACTGACGCACATGAAGGTTGTAAAATCTACAACTGATCCTTTCCAGAAGGGACTGTTGATCAAAAGTAATAATCAGGTGGACTTTCAACAGTATCGGCCTTTTATACAGAAAAGGCCAGTGTGGAAAAAAAAAAAAGGGTGATAAAGAATTAATAGTGAGATATGAATTGAAGAGCAAGCGAATGGAAAATGGAGAAAGGAGAACATGAGAGCCTTTTCAGCATCCCCCCATCAGGACTGGCCCAATCCATTTCGATCAGAACTCTCTTCGTTTTCCAGAGGGTTTATTCTATTATTTAATGGCCAAGTATAATCCAGGAAGGACTGCCACATCAGTTTTTCATGTTGATACAAATAAACAATCATGAATATATAGCTATATACTAATCTATAACTATTTATACTATATCAAATTTATCAAGTAAATATGTTTTTAAATACAAAAATCACATAAACATTGTATACAGACTCCAACAACATAATTATTGTCATAAAGGATTGGAAATGGTATAATTTTATAAACAATTGGTTACTGTCAAAGTTTTTAATGAATGTTATTGTTTGTAGTTGTTTTCTATTACTGATTTGGTACTTACTTTCTGTTAAGAATACCTTCGTCCGAATGCCTTTGTTTGTCAAATAAACTATCATTATCAATATCTGTGTTAAACAAAGATGATTTACTGGTACCATCAGCAATTTTGGTTGAGGTAACAGCACTCTGAAATAATTTTTGGCTAGCAAACAGGGACGATTTTTCGTTCTCTTTTACACCTCCTTGGCTGAAAAGAAATGATTGTGGTTTAAAAAATTATTTTTTAACACACCATCCACAAAACAAGGTTCTTAATGCTTGTTTCTGTGTGTAAAACTGCTATTTTTTCAATCAAACTAATCGTTTGTAAAACACTGCAAAGCATGCATGAAATACCATGGAGCAAGTGCAAAAGAGGTTTGGCTTATGGCTAGTTAAAAAAATAGTTAATGTAACACATGCCATGATGATCCATGCACTTGTTATGACTCTTACTATTTTATCACACATGTGAACACAAAATACACAGAAACAGCAATGTACAGAAGACATATGCACATTTAACTTTGTCTACTATTACCAGGGGAAAATGAGAAATGGACAATCTCAAAAAAACAGCTCATAAACATTAATTATAATCTATACTATTTAGCAAGATTACAGAAGAGAGAGTACAACAAGAAATGTACAAATGTTTAAAATTTTAACTACGAATTGTAACAAAACTTCAACATGAGGCAACTGACAATGTGACTCAACAGAATGGTATTATCTACAAGCAAATGTGAAGTAAAAAGTTCTTTGAAAATTTCAAAGAACAATGCAGAATAAGGTTTTGACATGGATAAATTTGACACAAATTTACTCATATCACTTTCATCATTACCAAAAGCAAAGGCAATGGTAGTTCCAGGGGAAGGAGCAGCACACATTTCATTGCCCTCTAATAAGACATTTTTTAAATTTAAATTATTCATAAGAATTACCAAAAAATGATTGCATCATTTCCAAAAGAGTACTTCCTTTATGAAAACACTTTTGTCCCTCCCTCCGTATCTGAAACCTACATTTTTTATTTTTTTTAACAGTTCAAAAATATTTTTTCCTCTGAAGAGTTGAGTAAATATCTTGAATAGTACACATAGGTGTCCACATCACCTTTTTTTTTTTATATAGTACTTTGATTACTAATTTTTTCCATTTATACGGTATGTTTAATTTCATGAGGTACTAGTTCATAAGCTAGGTCCATTATTATTTCAGTAGTACTGAAGTGCCCTGGACATGTTCATTATATATCATGTCAGGTCCACAAGACTTTCTCTTTTTGGAGTGAGATATTGTTTTCCATAGGTCTGATGACTTACGACAGTAGGACATTTCTACAAAGACACGTTTCTCCATAGGAATTTCTCTGGGGTACCTCGGTTGCTGCAGTTGTAGAGTTTTGAATGGATTGTTTTCTGTCTCTTCTCTTAATTTTGTTTCTTCCATCATCAGGTAATCCTTTCTTGTCTTGTTCAGTTTCTCTTTATATTTCCTTCTTTTCCTTTGATAGTTTTGAAGTGTTTTGGAGATCATGTATTTATGAAGAGCTTCCAGCGTATTTTTCCTTGTCGTGTAGCATTGTGCATTAAACCCCAGTTTAGAGACCTTGACAGGCCTTTGTGAGACCTAGACAGGTTCTATTAGTTTCTGTATTACATCTTCTATATTCATTACTGCATTATTTAGTCTGCCCTCCAGTACATTATTTACATTTCATGTATTGGCTATAGCTTTTTTCATTTTCTCTGTGTTTGTTTCCGTGGAAGATCTTTCAGGATGACCAGGAAATTTCTTGGCATTTCATGCACCTCTATTTATGGTTATCCAACATTCCACTGGTAGGTGTTTTCTGATGACTACATTGTCACACAAGTTTTGTTGTAGAAGGCTCATGTTTATCATATTTCCATTTACAACATCTATGGACCTTGGTGCATGATCCATTATGACCTATGCCTCTGTCTGTGAGTCGTTAAGTAGTGTTAAGCCTTCAACAAGTAGGAAGTTATTTATTTGCGCTGTCTTCATGTTTGGTTGATCCAGTCTCCAATTTAGATCTCTGGCCAGTAGAACTGTCTCATCCTTTGGTAGTAAGTTTAATGAGGTAGTGATCTCATCTACTAATTCCTCTCCATTAAATTCTGGCTGAATGTAGGCCCATGTAAAACAAAATACCTTCATTTTGAGTGTTACCACATTATCTATTTTATGTACAATTTTGAAGAGATCTTTGGACTCAAGAAACAAGTTATTTCCCCCTTGGGTCTTCCTAATGTTCCTTGTACTGTGAGTACATGTGATGCATAAAACTTTGGAGTGTTCCATGGTTTCCTCAGGAACATTTCAATCAGCATTATAATTTGGTATTGTTCATATATACAATTTGGAACATTAAGAATCTAATTTTCATGAAGTATACCAATTAGTAGTGACAGGAATGTATCATTGCCATAGTACCCTCCACAATACAGTGTATGTTTCTGCCCCAATTATTACACAGAAGAGTATCAAAAACATTTTACAGTAGTAGTGACTATAGGATTTGTTTAAAGTTTCGATTATAATGAACAATCAACCATTTAAAATTACTGGTATGTTTTGCCATATGTTACATCTTAAAATACAGCAATGCAGTTCAGGACATATCACATTCTTAATTCAGAAAGTTATATAGTGAAACATACTGTACCTTTCACTCTCATCAAGTTTCGATGCTAAATCTCTGGTTTTGACTATACCACTACTAGATTCTTCCAGCAAATCACTACCATTAGATACAAAGTTCCTTCCTATAGCATTGTCTTCTTCAGCAGAATTTTGTTTCACAATAGGAGATATATTACCAAAAAGATCCACATTATTTAATACAGGAACAGCACCAGGAAGTTTCTGCAAAAATTTTCATTCATCTTGACTTTGAAAGTAAACATTAAATTTACATAGTCTTCTCTTACAAAAACAAGGCTTAAAGAAAATGGAAATTAGAAATCTTTGATAAAGAAATCACAGAAAATATTATGATTGAACAATTTATAGAAATCTAATTTATCTTTTGAATGTTCATGCTTTTTCACATCTTTAAACTCACATTATGCTCAGTATGTACAGCTCTACCCTTTTGAGGACATTAATATTACTTTTAAGTAAAGCAGCAATAGATTTTCAAATGTTAAAAAACAAGTCTGTAACCTCAAAATTCCAGATTGTAAGAGCAGTTTGTCTGTTCAGATGTGTTAACTTGACTCATCACAACTCACCTTCTTTTTGGTTACACTCTGTGAAGAGCCTCGTTGCGAAGAAGATGGAACCGCAAAGAGATCATCATCATCCTCCATATCCTCTTTACCAAAAAGAGCAGAGTTACCACTAACAGTTCCAGTAACTGTAAATCAATTGTTCCCAATGAAATATGGTTGCTGGGCAGAATTAAAGGAAATGCAATTCTTCAACGTCAACAACCTTTTATTTTACCTTTGGATTTTTGAGAGAAAAGATCATTTGTGTCCTCAGCAGGTCCAAAGAGAACATCATCCTCAGTGTTAGTGGAGAGGAGAGATTTAGGAGTACTTTCCTTCACTTTTTCTTCTTGAGCTCTGGAAGAGGTAAATAAAGCCTAGTACAAGAATTGAAATTTAAAAACAACAAAACACTATGACACTTTCTCCAAATACACAAATGCTGTAATGTTCATGTAAGGTTTCTTTTTTTTGAAAATACCATTTCATTTAAATACCACTCTTTTAGCTTTCCCAAGATTCACTGAATTACAAGTGATTGTGATTTCCCACATACACAATATATATTAAAAATAGATAAAAAGAACAATTTAGCAGCTTATAGTTAGGCGTGACGGTGGTGGCAGTGATGGTGGTGGTAGTGGTGGCAGCGATAGAGGTTGTTTTTGTTGTTGTTTTTTTAATTTAATTAAAACCTATTTTTCACATAATATAATTAAAATAAATTGGATATTTGAGTTGCTTTTTCATTTTGTGTTTCATCTTTAAACTTTAAAATGTAATGAAAGAATACAACCTAAAGATTGTGACACACAAATTTAAAGCCAAGGCTTTCTTAGGATCAGACCCTGTAAGTTGCAAAATAGGACTTGACAATACAATTATAAAACATGTAATCTTCTTTCAGTATTTAAACTGCAAGCTTTAGTCATTTATATTGCAATGATATGTAGATGTTAAATTAGGAAGATTCCAACAAATATGTGAAATAATCTGAATTATCTTAGAAAATAAAATCCAACAACAGACTCAACTAAAATTTTATAATTTTATGTTGTAAAGTGTCTTATATTTACAATTTTTATTATATCAATGTATTATGTAAAAGGAAGAACCTTAATGACATATTATATTTCATTTATTAAAAAAAATACTTGTATCATACACAATGTTTCTGGAATCTTCCTGTTCCATAATCAGGAGTCTTGATCCATTATTCCGCAAATTTAATAATGTTCAGCAATTTACATTGTTGTTGTACATTATTTCACATTATATGGAATCGCACTATAACAAGGAGGAGGCACAACAGCTGCCAATAAGACATTCAAGTCAGCTATGTGTAAAGTCAGACCTCAACAACACGTAATGTAATATAATATACAATGACAATGTGAATTTCTGAATATTCCTACGTTTACAGAACAATGGAACAAGACACCTGATAATGAAAAAAGGAAGTTCCCTGAAACGTTGGGTAGAAAAAAGTTTTTTTAAATAAATGAAATATAATATACAAAAATTAAATATAAGGAAGAAATCTTATTCATCATTCAATTTCAAGTCCGGCTTTATTTCTTAATTAGGCTTTTTAGCATTGATTTATTCTTGTGAGAGAAGAAGTGGCTCGATTCTCAACCCCTGCCCTGGAAGACAAGGCCCTAGTCAGCTTTGACATTAATGCAACTGGTGGAAATATAATCAGTTGTCATTCATAGAAGTTGAGAGCCTCTGATATGCCATATCCTGTGCCTAATAGCCACTTAACTTAAAAGTACATGAGACTGCACATCTCAGTTTCAATGTTATGTGAGATCTATGAAAGAAAACTATCAAAGAGTCTTGCAGACTCCATCATACAAGTTACGGGTTAAGGAGAAAGATGCTTCTTAGAATTAGTACAATTATTCAACTTAATTGTACCTTAATCATATTTTAATTATAAGAAAATTAATGATCCACACACACTCATGACACAAAGGAAAAATGTTTTAGGTCTCTGATATAAAATGACATTCCACATGGATATTTTCACACACACAATGATTTTATCCTTATAACTATGTGTATGCTATTTAAGTAGACATCATCAATGAGAATTCAAAATTTTCAAAATATTATTTTTGTTTACACTATATGGTATATTGTTGCTCATCCAATTCCATTTCAAAATTTCTTTGGTCTTTTTCATTTTTATTTTCTGTAGGTAAAAAAGAAAGAAACTGGAAAACATGTGTAAGCTACAGCATACTTATTCTTTGAAAATAACAAAAGAAAACCTACCAAAATTCTTTAAAAGTAAAATTACAACCCTTTTTTTATGAAACTTAGACATTGTGGCATTGTTCTTAATTACATTTAATTTTTACAACATAAAAGAATTTTAAATTCTTTTAAAAAATTTACTTTATCAAATTCAGTATAACAAAATAGGTATAAAAGTAATATACTCACAAGTTTGTAGGTATGTTTAACTTTTGTTTGGATGAAGAAAATATATCATCTTGATTATCTGACGTTTGACTAGTATCAACTATTTTATTAGTTTGTAGACCTGAAAAATGAATTCAGATGCTCTCAATATTTTTTAAATTCACATGGATTGTTCTGTAAGAGCTAGAATTAGGAGCAATAGCTCTTAAAATAAAATAAAATAAAATAAAATATAAAAACACACACACACACACAAAAAGCAACAGAAAGTATCAACAGAAAAACGTGCAGTGAAACCTTAATGAATTGTTTCTGATTACAAATTTCGATATGAAAGCCAAAAAGAAAAGAAATCCATAAAGAAAGAAAGCCAATGACAAATTAAAAGAAAACTAGTGTTTCCACAATAGTGCATACTTTCTAGCATTAATTGTTATGATTAGACAATATTACAAAACTAGCTGAAATGGTATATATCAAAATTTCACACATTTCAACAAGATGGCAAATTAGGGGTTGGTGGTAATGTGACCCTGGGGGCAGCACAGTGCACTCTGCTGATTGACTGTACTGACCTAAGCAAAACAAATTGACAACATATGGAGTTGCTTCACTTGGCAATTGTCTCACTGGCCCAACCCTTCAAGGAATGACAATTTAAGGGTTGAAAATAAGTTTTAAAATTTTCAACAATAACAGGTCAAAAAATATGCATTTTGCACGATGCATTCAAATCTGCCATTATTTTTCAGATAAATTTACATTTATCTCGGTCATCTTAATTTCTTTCACAATATTATGAAAATGCTCTAAAACAACATAACAAATTATAAATACCTTTAACACACATCAAATCAAATGAAAAGAATTTCACATTACGATAACAAATTACAGTATTAAATATAAAATTACATCTTTGTGTACATCAAAACTTTTGAACTCATTAATTACGTTAAACCTTCCCTAATATAGTAGTGTTTCTAAATCTTCTGGGATTTGTTCCTTGAAAGTAATCTGTTCATTTCTTCTGACATATTCTTATCTCTTTTCACATGTACTCCTGTACTCTGAAAACTTGCTCAATTTGGAATCTTAAGGGACCAGTACTTTTTTCCATATTAGACAAAATTCCACATTATGTAATGTGATTCTGTTGAATCTACATTTGCAAGGACTGCTGTTTGTATTCATATTAGGCAGATTTCCACATTATACACGTTCTGCATTGAGCAAGTTTTGCTACATATACCTTCCCTAATGCTTCTGTCACTTGTTTGTCACGTCTTTTTAGTGTCTGATCATGACAGGGTACTGGCATTGGATTATCAATGAACTTCTTAATATCAGGTATGTTAAGTTCACAAGTTGAAGGAGGCTCACAGTTGATGTCCCACCAATCACTATGTACTATAAAGAAAGAAACACTTGGATTGATAGGTACTTTCCTGACCTGTACACCCATATTTCCTAGTAAAGAGATAACCCCCTCAAGTCATTAATTTTGAGCATGATATCAGAACACAATACTTGAACTATTATTTCACTAAAAGCATGAACATTCTGGGCCCCTCAGGGCTAGTAAAACAACATTCATTACTGCCTTCTATTGAAATCAAAGTGCAATTGATACAGAACATGGATTGGTGTGTGGTTCAATTAAAAAATTCTTGCCTTTGATGTAGAAGTAACATGGATAATCCATAAATATACCTCATTATAAGCTTTATTTTTTTCAGAATTTTCACTCAAAAACAAAGTTTTGAAATACAAACACAGCAAATCCAGTTAGCTGTTCCAACAGAGAGAAAGAATTACTGAAGCTATTTTAAAAAGAACCACATTTGAAGAAGTTATTCTGAATCTTTTGGCCTGAGAGCATCTATAGCAGCAAGGTTGATCAATCAAAAGAACTTGTATTGCTCCCTTAGGCAATGGCATAAGCATCCTAACTTGAAAGGATAATAACAAGAAACGATGTATCCATTTCCAATTCCGTGACAGTTTCAAGCATATTTACTCTAAAAGAACTTAGTGGAAGAAAGTGTTAACTCAATGATTGATTATTCTCTTTCCAGGTGTGACAACTGCTATTGTCATTAGTCAAGTAAAGTGCATGTATATCATGGGAGGTGATGGTGTTCCCACCCCCTGCCCTGCTAGAACATGAGATCCTGCACCAATTTACTCATCGGCTTGCACGAGATATGTCCATCGTGCTGCCAGCAGGACACCACGCAACTAGGATAAGCTCCTGACTTATCTCTCAATGAGTGATAGTAAACATGTAATGAGAGAAAAGAGATCAAGGATAAGAAATAAAAGATTGCAAGTGGTTCATGGCCTATTTGTTAGGGTACTACTCCAGTACCACTGGATATTAATCGGAAAAAGAATGAAAAACAACTGATAAGAGCAACTGGCTGCAACAAATCTCCTCCAGACAGCAATCGAATTTGACCTACCTATCTAACTAGTGTTGAAAATTGGCACCAGGAGGACTCCAACAATTGACCTACCAGTCTGAGACACTGCAGTGGCAACAGTTGTGACCTGAGCCACCTCAGCAGGTTGGTAGCTCAAAATAATCTTTACTTAAGTGGGGCCGTTTTACTTGGTTGTGTTCACAAGAAAGAAATAGCCCCAGTAAAGAAAAAAATGGACATTTTTTAAACACGTTTTTGCTCTATCCCAGGGGTTTCCCACAGGTTTGGTATCAATCCCATGGGGTTCCATGAAATTTTGAAGGGGGTCAATGATGAACAAGGGGTGTATGATTGAAGGGGGTGCATGACTGAATATGAACCAGCAATTGATCGGTACAATCACAATTTCTGTGATTACAAAAATCTTCATAATTATTTTCTGACACAGAGCAACAAATATATAATAATAAATTACAAAAATTTGCTCCTCTTGTATCCTATTCGTCATTCATCAGGGATGCAGCTAGGCTGGAGCATCTGGTGCACAGCACTAGCCCTCAGAAGTAACAGTCAATTAATAAGGACCCCTGGGGATAGATATAGGCAAAGAATAAAACAAACTGCACCCCATGCTTATTTTCTCCACAGTCTCCTTATATTTAGACCAATTAGATTTAAAACTCTTAATTGCACATTTGTTACAGATAAGAGCCTCATTTTGATTTTCTGCACTGAGGCATCAGAGAACCTGGCTTTGCAACAGCTTAGGTACACAACATATTAAATATGTATTGACATCAATATTTTATCATGAAAGAAAATACTCCCTGCTATTCGCACTGGAGAAATGTCAGTGTGGCCAGGTTCAATAGCTCAACAACGCATTGAAACACAACAATGAAGATTAAAAACTCAGCTATTTACAAGTGGATGAGCTTCTGGTATGAACTTATTAAAACATTCATCATAAAAAAGAAACACCAGAATTGTATTACAGCAACTAAAAAGAAAATAAAAATAACAAGTGGTGCTACAGAATTGCACAGACTTCCCGGTATTAGTTTTCTATTTCCTTTGGTCTTGACTAGCTATTTGAACTTGCCACATACTCTTGCCAGCTGCCATCTATGTTTTTGAAATTTTCTTAATTTTTTGGTTTCCTAATAGTAGAATGGAAATATTATTTTAAGAATATGAAAGAAGAGTAAAACCTCACCATAAATTCCAAATTTGAAAAATTTGGAGACGTTTTAAAAAAATGGTGCTTAAACACTACAGTAATTTCAAAATTTAAAGCTCTTTTTTCACACAAAAGAGTTGAGTATTTTTGAGTTTTTGACAAACTTAATTAGAAGTCATTTAAAGCACAAAGAATATTCATCTAGTTGCCACAGAAAATGGTTGAATTTTCAAGAAACTTCATTTGAAATTATTTAAAACACATGTATTAATAAATATAATAAAGTGAACAAATTGTATCTAATATAAATATTAACATCTTAAAAAACAAGTCAAAAAATTATTTAGCACACTACAAAAAGAAATTAAAAAACATACATTTTTAAGAATTTTTCAGACAAAATTAAAAATAACACAAGCTAGATTAAAAATGTCAAAAAGATATTCTTTTTCATCTCACCTTTTGATACATTTGTAACTGTTTTATTGGCAGACGTGCTTTCACTTTTCCACAGAGAATCTGATGTGTTTTGCCAGTCATCTAAATCATCGAAAAGACCTTGCTTTTCACTAAAAGAACGACTTGTTTTACCAAAGAGCCCTGATTCATCTTCAGGTTCAGAGGAAGGCACAAACATATTGTCTGTAATAATATTTACAAATAAAAATATATGAAAGTAATATAAAGAATAATAATATAGAATTAATAAAAGAAATATCAAAAATCTACCTTTTTTATGCTCTCTCTCACTCACACTCTGTGATTTTGCAGCCATCAATTTGGAAGAAAGCTCATCGGAGAAAGCATTTTTCAAACCTCCCTGATCAAAAAAAAGAATAATTCACAACCACAACAGTTATTTAATAAGTATCAATTAATTCAATAAAGAAATCAATTTAACTCACAAAAATTGTTATTCTGTACAAAATTCTTCCAAAAAACAAAAATGTAAAATTAAAAATGAATATCAAATTGGTACATATCCAATTTCAGTGAAACTTATTCAATATTTCTAAGTGAAAAAATGCAACACAATGAAAGTCTTTCTTTTACTTTTGTATGAATTATCCAGAAAAATCAACTTAAGCAAGAAATAAATATTAATTAAAAATAATGTAGCCCTGTAGAAAAATTCGGAAAACAATAAAAAAATATCCTCATACCTTCGCTATTGCTACTACATCAGCCTCTGGAGGTGACGCATGGCCAAACATGTCCCTTTCCTCCTCCTCCTCCTCTCCCAATGCACCCACTGGACTACCAGTTCTTGGCTTCTTTTGTTTCACTATAGAATCGCTGCGGTCACTCTCTGGTTCTGAGTTTTCAGAATCACTCAAAGACAGAGCCTAAAAGTTACCATCATTTTCAATTACAACAACAACAGTGATGATGATTATAATAATAATAATAATAATAATAATAATAATAATAATAATAATAATAATAATAATAATGACAACAATATACAACAACCATAAATAATGAGTACAAAAAATATAAAATAATTAAATATGTCATCTTACCGCTGTTCGTTTAGGTGAGACTATTAATTCATCTTGCTCCATTTCATCATCACTTTCACTCGACTGGACAACATTCTGATCAGGAGACTCTTCTGTATCACTGGATATCTCACCCAAGCCCACTTTATCATCTTCCATGAATTCTTTTGATCCAATTAAATATGGAAGGGGTCGTGAAAGATATGGGTTTTTAGGTTTTAACACAAGACGGCCAACACTGAGAGAAAAACATAAGAAATTTATCAAACAATAGCTACAAAAATTTTCTGATAAGCAAGAGGATTTTTAACAAATATGATTCTCAAGAAAGACAGTAATTACAAACAAATCACATTTAATAACATACAGAAGTAAAAAATATTTCAACAAGCAGTTTAAATAATTTCATAAAAACATCTGAAATAGGTTAATATTTATATTTACAGAGCCACAATTCCAAAAACATTTTTATTCAATCCAAACCAACACCAAATAAAACTGTTTTCTCATCATTGATGTGCAAGACCTCATTTCTAGCAGCAAATGTTTAAGCATAAGATAATGTTTACCTAGTTGAGCTTTCTTCTTCTTCACTGTCACTGGCTGGAACTTCCACAGCTTCAAAGTGAGTGTCCAGCAATGCCAAACCCATATGCAGAGCCTGCTTGACATTTTGGAATACTTCTGCTTCCTGCTCTCCCTTAGATTTTGGTAACTGTGAATAAGTTTTTACAACAAAATTAATTTAAAGGCACCTGAGAAATATTTTTGTGTTGTTCATCCTAACTACTAGGGCCTGGATTTTTAGGATTTTATTAACTCATTTAGTCTTTTTGAAAAGTTGATTTAGCCCATTAGAGGTTTTGATCATTTTTTCAAACCATGTTAGTATCAGGCAAAACAATAATTTCAATAAATAACATTCAAATTATTAACTCATTTTATTCAATAATTTTAAATCTGAACTTAAGCAAAGTTTTTTAAAAAAAGCACTTAAAATTTAAGAACAATTTTTCAACATTTGTCTCATTAGGCATGTTAGCAGTTGTTTGTCCTTACGGAGCCAAACAATCTGGTTACTTGGGCCCAAACATGGGAAATAAACCTGTTTCTTGTTCAATTTTCAATAGAAAGGCCTGGCTCTAGATAGTCCTTTGCAGCGCTTGATTTATAAAACTGTAGGTCCCAGAACACACCCAAAATTAATTATTAATTTGATATAAATAGTTACATAATTATCATACAACTTAATAATTAATTCCAAGAACCAGAATGCCATTTTGTCACATTCCGACAGAAATCAAGCCCTGCTCCTTCACCACATTTTCAACAAAGTAAGTAATACTACTGCAGTAGTGCTCAAAAAACCACATCACATAAAGAAAATGGGCATTCTGTACTTTCCTAATCTGATCTACACTCAAAAATTTTAAATAGTTATTTGTAAAATTGGTAATCATGCATTTTATGTGGATTATATGATGATCTATCACCTTCATAACTCATATTCTATCAGCTTCATAACTCACTTCATTTTCGCAAATCAAGTACTGTATTTGCCGCACTATGTAGTATGCTGTATATGCAGATTACAACTGTGAGAAAGGTGATGTAGTTTTTTTGAGCACTACAATAACTTACTCGCCATATCAATTTAATGCCCAAGTATTGTAATGCTGGTGTAACAAATGATGCTGTACTACAAAGACACTTCTTGTTTACTTTGTGATGTTGAATGTCAGGTTGACACTTTCATTAGCTTATTTCTCAGAATGAATTTGATGTGGCATAGAACTAACTACAGTCAAGCCCTGCAATTATTCTGGACAATTGTCTGAAGTGGAAAATAGGGTTTATTAGAAACAAGAGGCATGTTTCAAGTAAAATACTGTGTTTGTACTAACTGGGAAATATTATTTCCATCTACTAAATTTTGAAAAAGAGAAAAGATATAATTTGTAACTTTCAATTTAAAAACAATATCTGAAGAGAGTTCTACAAACTAAAAACCAATACTATTTCACGCAATAACTGAATATTTATCATATAATGTGAAAATAATACGATTTTCTTCACATTTTTCACCAAAATTGCTTATGTTCTGACTCTAATGACAGTGGTATACATACTGAACATTATTGATCATGAATATATCATACAATGCATATTGATCTGAAGTTAACATTTGAATCTTTTAAAAGTAAAAAAGATAGTTAAAGAACTATCTCCTTAGAACGTGTTTTATTCAATCTTTGGAGGCCAGATAAGAGCCTGCTTACGATTGTTTTTTGTAAAAACTTTCTTCTTTTGCTTCTAGTTGATGTGAAATATCACCAAAAAGATGAGGAAATAATTGTAAATAAAAGTAATATTCAGTATTTACAATTTGTTTTTTCATTTTTCTTTCATTACATAATGTGAATTAGTATTTTATTGAAAATCAAGTATTACAAGGGTGAAATTGTGGCACATTGCAATGCCGACAGGTGAGGTTCTGTCAATTAAATAATTGGTTAAAATAGTCTATTTGCATACCCTATCAAGAATCAAAAGACCTCAAGAAGAGTGTAAGAACTAGATTTGATGTGATCATGTTCTAGATCTTTATACTGATGCAGTTACTCTGATAAAGTCAAATGAATTACAGACAAGCATACTGTTGTTAACGCAATGCAAAAATCTGGATTGCACTGGAAATGGAAGGAACTCAAGGAGGACATTGATAAGGAAAGAGAAGATCAAAATTTTGACCAAACTATAACCTCCAAAACAAATTGCAAAGCAGGGTATTTCGCAGTGCCAGACTTCTGCATATACTTCGCTCGTAATTTTATAGGCAGTCAGAAATATTTGATCATCTGCATATAGTTAAAAAAGAATTGTTTTGAAGGTTCAATTAATAAAACAATTTCAGAATTAACAATTCTGAGCTACCAAATTCTGTTCATTACCCCTAAATACTACTTTAAAAAATCCAAGCAAGAGTTAATTAAATATGAACAAAAACTACTTTCAGGACAAGCTTCATTTAAACATATCTCTCCTCCATATCTGAATTCTGAAATTTATCATTTAATTTTGTAACTTTTCATCACAAGCCCTTGCACATTTTCTTCCTTGGATTGCAAAGATCCTTAGTTCTTGTCCTCTCAACACTCAATTTCTTCTCTTCACTTAACATACGTTCAAAATACTGCTATCAAGGAAATATTTCATTAGAAGACCTTCTAATGACTGTTTTGCAGGTTATAATACTTACACTCACATCATCCTTCTTTTCTTCAGGAGGAGTCTCCTTCTCATCATCATCATAAACTCTATTCTCTACAAACTGAGTATTAGCAAGAAATAAAAATGTGTTGGTAGCATTCTGTACACTAGTTGATGTTGTCTTCAAATCCTCAACCAATTTATCTAATGCCACTTCTGTAGCATGTGTTTTAGCCAACAAGCTCTGAAAGGATACAAGAGAAAAAGAATTTGACAAAAAGTTCTCCAAGTACAAACACTGAATAATTTAAACTATAAATTATTTGCATGTGCTAATTCTGAGCAAAGAGGGTATGGGTACTGTTTTAACCTGTGAGAACTGTTGTAGATGATTTAGAAGACCAGAATCTCCAGCAAGATTCCAATTTGCACTATGTTCTCTAATCTCATCAGTTGTCCATGGTTTTTCCCATGCTTTGGCAGTATCTTTGTCCTGAAAAATTTTAATTAATAACCGAATCACTGTTATGTTTCTATGATAATAAATAATAGGATTGAAAAATTCATGAACTGTCAAATAAAGGTACACCTAACCTCAACACACCCATAATTATTCAATTTAATTACTCTTACCATTGTTGTGTTCCACTAAGTTGAAATTAAGGAACACTACAAAATGAACAACCACATTATCTAAGTGAGGGCTCAGCCCCAGCATGAAACACAATCAACTTCGTTTTTACTGTGTTCAAACCCAATCAGCGCTCATATCGCTTATGTGAGGGGTAACTTCCGAAACATCCAATTGCCTTTATGTATACACAAAATGTCACACTAAAATAGCATGATATACGAAGAGCAACATTTTTACTTAATTTGTATACACTTTAATGATACCAAAATCACTTTAATTAATTTCACTCCGCAATATCACATAGTGACATTTCCTCATTTAACACGTAACACCCATAACAAAAACTTAACTTCGTTCCACTTCTTCACCCTCCTCCAGCCAATGGGAACCAACTTATGTCGATTACTCGTTTCGTTGCAGATTTCATAAATCGATTATTTGTACGATGTCGAATAAGCATGATGTCGATTTACTCTACAATGCAAGTGATTTCGCATCACAATTTGCCGACAAAAATATCCCCGCACATAGAGATAGGGAATTCCCAAAAAGACAAGCTGAAGTTTATACAGCCATTGCTGTCATTCTTTGTGGAAATTGAAATGTACTTATATTGTCTATTATAATTGTTTCATGTCAAATAAAAGACTTAATAAATAATAGACATTTTAACTAAATGTTATTCACGGAAACCTAAAAAACCTTAATGTCAAAATTAATTATAATCGTTGGTCAGAACTTGAAGTTTAACGACATGATAAACTGGCCCCATTTCGATTCATTTGCACTCCTATTCACGAAAAGAAACACGTCAAATAAATTAGTACTATTATCTATTCATATTTTATCAAAATCCCATGCGCGCAGAAATTGAAAGAAAACTATGCAATCTCCCAATCTAGAGTTTTGTTAGATAATTTGAAACTCATATATTTTTTCAATTTCGATTTTGACTGAACCTACAAATGTTTGATTATGTTGTTTTTTTCTATTCTGAAACTGGGCGTACGAGCTAAATTCTCATATCCAGTGTCCCACTTGCTTGCTGTCTCTTAACCTTCCAGTGCGAGGGTCTGATCGCGGCTGAGTTGCGTGGAGTTTCTAAGGGCGGATAATCCCACAGTGGATATCGTGTGTCGTGTTAAATAACCGTGGCAGAAGCCGGGCAAAATTAAATCCATCTGGTAATGTCCAGTCCCAACAGATTTCACCTACTTTCAAAGAAACATGTTGATTTATGTCTTTGCGGTCAATGAAGGGACTTAATTCCCAAGTACGATTTAGTTTCCAATCAGGGGGAATTTTACTCACCAGAGCGCTCACTTTGGCCATAGGCTCTGTTCACACTTCCCTCAATCTTCGCCAGGCTGGCAGATTAATACGTCGGCATGTGGCGTCACAGAGGATGGCCAATAAAGCCCAGATTCCCAATAAAGCCTGGTAGTAGGACTATTCCGTCAGCTTGGAGCTAACAGAAACTGATTCTTGACTGTTCGGGAGATGCCGCGTCTTAGGTACAGGTGCCAACGTTTCGGCCGCCATTCTGCGACCTTCCTCAGGGCGAAATGCCTAGTTGGGATGGCGAACTTTGGTACTAACGGCGTGAGTAACGCTAAAATGAAGGGTCCGCCGTACGGACGTTTCCAGCCTTCAGCAAAACCTTGGCCGATGGTTTCCCGTGCGGGGTCTCTCTACCGGACAATCGATAAGGGCAATTCAATTCAATGGTGTTGAACCGCCCGAGTACGCGACACTTTCATATCCGGAGAGATTTTACTGTCTCGGGGTGGGCTTCTGGGTCATTAGGCTACAATAGTCTTCCTTCGGAAGCACTGAGATCCTGTCAGGCAGGATCCGAATACGCTGGCACACAACGCTCCAGACATACGCAGGCACACAACGCTTCGTTATATACTCTCTGGCTCCAGACGCGCGCCATTCCAGTTAAGGCTTTATAAAAATTTCTTTTGTTTCCAGATGACCTAGGATGCGCAGCATTACAATTTTTGTTTTGTCGTGCTTTCTAGCCTGTTTGTGTTGGTTGGTGCGTGATTTGGTCGACGGTAGAAGAGAATTGTGGGGTTCAGGAGGAAAATCTATTTGCTAATCTAAAATCCTAAATTTGTTTTGAGTTGAATGTGGGTGCGTTGTCCTTTTATGGGTGCACTGGTGGGAAGATTCGCAGTGTTGTCGACTTGTTGCCTGTCCGTGTGGTGATTGACCTCTTCCAGCCTTCAAATGTTTTGATCTAAACCAGCCTTAGGATATGTTTACATGTGTGAAGGCTTTCAGAAGGTCGGCTTTGAGGGTGTAGAGAGTAAGAAGAGTAGAAACAGCAGTAGCCATGTCACGAATGCCTTTTAATTAACTTAATAAAATTGGATATAAATATAACAGATCTCAGATAAGAGCAAAATGTATCAAACATAATATTTTAGAACAGTAGAAATGGTGTTTATTTACAAAAATAAAAATGATGATTCGATACGAGTTTATGACGGTGCCCTATCTACATAATCCTCATCTTCCTTTTTTCTCTCTGTTCAGCAAACATCCGCAACAATATCCACAATTTACTTTGTATCAGTTTTTTGGTTTTTAATTATTTTTTCTTCAACTTATAAGTTAGCGATAACTTTAATTTATAGAATGATAGATTTATATTGGTCTGAATTTGTCTTATTACTAAATACAATATTTACATAAAATGTTATTAGTAATTACAATATTTTCTTTGATGTAAGAGGGGAATTTTTTTTTTTTTTTTTTTTTTTGAAAATTCACAATGTTATTAATCAACATTTTAAATTTTGCGCGAAAACTCGAAATCGCTTTGAGAAATTTTCTACGTTCCCCTTTCTCGTTAAATGGTCCACATAGCACAGCGCTGTAGCTGCAAGAAGAAGAATCGTTTTTAATGCAGCTTTGCAGCTTTTGGGGAGGAGATCCTCCTCTAGATTATCATCTATTGGAACTAAATGAACACTTGGCGCCTGGTTGGCGCCCACACGCGTATTAATCTTGGACCAGGTCGTATACCTCGATTAAAGTCCGTTGACCTTTGGTCAGCTGTAACGCTGTCATCCAATTGAGAGCTTGAACGTCACTATAATGACGTCACTGTAGCGACGTTAAAGATTCTGATTAGGGGGAGAGCGAACCGAGTGTCAAGGAGCATAATGTTTTAATCGAAATATACGAAGAGGCGCGTTGTAAAATCATTTCACACCCGTGGAAGCACCGTGGGCTGGCGGAAACTCGGGTGATAGGGCCAATCGAACCGGTACGTGTGTGTGTCCCTCTCGCACAATCTTTCTCTCTCAATAGCTCCCTCTCTCTACTTTTATATCGCTCTCTCTCTCTCTCTCTCTCTCTCTCTCAACTCACTCCCCTCCCTCTCTTCTCCCTCTCTTGTCATTTTCCCTCTCCTCTCTCTTGCTCTCTTTCGCACCCTCTCGCACTCTCTCTAGAACCCTCGCTCTCTCTCTTTCGCTCTCCCTCGCCCTCTGTATCTAACTCTCACCCCTCCTCGTTCTCCCTCGCTCGCTCGCACTCGCTCTTTCTCTCTATTTTGACTATCTTATCCGTATCTCAGGTCCCTGCCTATTCTGTATGATTGCTCTTCAAACAGTTAAAAAATATAACAAATTAAACACAGTAATAATGCGTGATCACAATTTCATATAATTAAAATTTACAAATCCAATCTCATCCAACTCATAATATTGTGTCTTTTCTTTATCGACTCTAATACATCTCCTGTAATCTAAACAGCTCGTACTTATATGTTACCGGCTCGTGGCTCTGGTCGATTCCAGCATTCCCATACACAAAACTGCCTATCATGTACTATGTTTTCTATGGCGTAATCATCACATCTCAACACTAAAGTTTAAAAGAAATTAAAAGACGTTATTGACACAAAATTCCGTTATCTATCAAATTCTGGATTTGGAATTTCTCCCAATGGTGGATCAAACTGAAGCTGAGACATGTAGTTCACAACCATGCGATCTATTGTTAGTTGATTGCAATCGTTAAATATAAATACTTAAACAATATATCTGTATTCGGTGTACATCAGTCTTTCACTTCTACAAGTAAACCGTAACTTGTTCTGAAACTCGTTCCATGAAACAAAATACTTTTCATCACTGCGCCTGCAGTTAAAGCAACCTGCAGCACTTCGTTGTAATGCAGCTCGCAGCCGAATCTGTTACAGGCGCTAAGAAAACAAAACTAGTGCTATAGCACCATAGTTTTCTCGTAAGTGTTACGTAATATTCTACATTGATAAAATAGAAACGTCGGCCACTGAGTTCAGAGTAACTGTTTTTATAAATCCAGGATGTTATTTACATGATATATAATAACCCATATAATTGATTTTCAGTTTTTTGTCCGTCCGTCTCCCAGGGGTGAACTCGAGAATGACTCAGCCGATTTCAAAGGGCATTTTCATGAAGGTATTTTTTCGGGCACCATTTTAGTTACTATTTGCTTCATATTATTTTCTATTACATTAAGACAATGTCTTTTTAATACAACATACACTTTTTATTCTGATAAATTTTGTACACTCTTCCTACAAAACAAGAGAAAAGTTCCTGCCTACATGAGATTTCATAACAATTATCATTTTTACACTTTCCTTCAAACAGTATTTAAAAGTGCACCCTTTCTTTCTCTTGCGAATATCTCGATTACGTTGAGGAAATACACCAGTAGGTGAACAATTTTTTTTTTTTTAATTAAAAAAGGTTGTTCTTTTACTAAAGTCCCCCCCCCACTCTAAGCCCAGAGTAACGGGTCACTCCCACGACAAGGGAAGTAAGGTCGGGTCGGCTCGGGGCCCCCTTCCCGTCTCCTTATTGCGATTACCTTTAAGCTATCGACGTGAGTACCGCCGAAACTTAGTGATTCCAAAAGGAACGAAATAAATATTTCATTCATCATGTGTTGTAATACTATTTCTCTACTAATATAGTGACTATTTTCAAATTAAGGCTGGCAGGACAATCGCAATCCGTAATAATTAACATACAAAAACTGATGGTTGTTGAATTTCATTTGTAAGATATTCACATCGTAACTCTAAAAAGCTATTTATTTCCATTAACAGCATCAGTATTTCTGAAATGTATACTTTAATTTTCTGAATTGTTTTAAGATCAGGTATTTAATATTCTTCGAATATTCTCTAGATGAAATATGCGTTCATTTTCATAAAGTTTTGTAAGATGAATGATGCTCGTGCAAAGTATTCAAATTTATACTTTTCTATTAAAAGTAGTTATACACTAAAACGTTTGTACAATTTAATAAATGTCTCTTTACGAAATATCAGTGTATTTCCTGGGAAGTTCGGCATGAAGATTGCTTACCCCCACCCTCTCACAAACACCATGGAACTGTTATTTGCTACTCTGAGCTGGCTGTTTACGGTTTGCCATCATCTATGCTTTACCATTGTAGTTCTTGTGTATTTCAGCTCGTAGAGAACCACGAGGCCTGCGGAGCTATAACGCGGATCTCGTATCTGCCTTATAACTTCTTCTATCTGCCTATCTATAACTGCCTATAACCTTCTCGTTAAAACTTGAAAATGATGCAATTAGGGCTCACATTGGCATTGACACAAATGCAATAAATATGCAAATTACGCATGTAATCAGTGTCGTGACCAGCATTTTTCTATGGGGTGAGTATTTCTAGAAGTAGTATGCAACAGACTTGAAGTTTTCTTATAAACAATTTTTCATTTCTGCTGAATTTAAATAATTATTTTTATTTTATAGTTATAATATATTCAATTGAGACACTGATGAATAGAGAGTGGATTTCTATGATTTTGCATATTTTTCTGCGTTGCTTCAGTGCGCTCACAACATTCCAGAAGCATTACATTCCAGAAGCGTTCTAAATGCCCGATGCTCTCTTATGTGCCACATCAGTCTGCGTACTCACAGGTCGTTCCATGCGTTGCTGATCATTGGTTGTAAAGCGTTCTCGCAGAAACACTCCTACCCGTCTCGCGACTGTCCAGTATGGAAGGGCATTATTCCCAAGAGCTTCCACCAATTTCCTGTGACATCCTCAGGCATTTCTCCCATGGAGAACGGCTCTCTTGAAGCATGAACGCTGTTCGGCACGATTACATTCATCTCGCACAGCGGTTATCAGACAACTGATTTCGCCTAGTTTTGTTTACCTTCATTTGGCAAAATTTATTTATGTTCGAATTATGTAATAATGTAAACAATAATAGTTTATAGTATCATAACTACAATACATAAATAATATAAAAAGTAATATTTTTTTTTTTATTATTTAACAAAAATCAATGATGCCCCCCCCCCCCCAATGATCAGCTGGATCCACCCCTAAAATAGAGACTCACGTAGCCATCTGTTGTTGTGAAGACATATTAGAACAGTATTTCTTTCAGGCAACAAATAGAATTGTGTGATCCAATAACATTTCTTTTGAATAAAAAAAAGAATAAAAGAAAAGCTGCCTTGACTTCTGCTCCAACCCTCGTATATCAGTCAATATGTATAATTAGTATTTGGAGGCAAGGCACTAAGACTCCCCCCTGGATGTGCAATGGCATATAATTACTAAATGTAATTATTTTTTTTTAACTGAAGAACTATATGTTAATAGTACTGGCACGAATAGGCAATTTACATGCTTTCATGTTTGTATTTTATATGAGTGCATATGACTTTTATACATGCACATGTGACTTTTGTAAGTGCACATATGACATGCAGACTTAGGGATGAAATTAATTGCAATGTAATACTTCTTTTTGGAAAATATACTTTTACTGATCACTACTAATCACAGGAGTGTTCACATGTAAGAGTTTACTTAAACATTCCAAATCCTGACCAATCAAAGTACATTAATAATTAGCAGATTTTCTAATCATCTGTTGTAATAAGTGATTTACAAAAATGTGTAAAATGATTATGTGGAAATCTCCAACCATTAATTTCATAAGTCTCTTTATTGCTACAAAGAGTATTGTATTATTTCTTTCCCTCAATGAGACTAACACAAAAATTGACTGTCAAATGTATAAAAAGAATTTATTTTTGCATTGGTACTTTAATAAAGACTGGAAAATCAATCACTGTTGTATATACTTATATCATTTGTCTCTTTCAGCTTTGAAAAGACATTTTTAATTAGTGTAATGCCACATCACAAAGAATGCAGAGATTTGCACAATAAATTATCACCAGAAAGAAACCAACAAGAATTGCAGCAAATCTAATAGGAATAGTTGTTTACTATAAAGAACAACATTCTTTAAGTTGATATAAACATTGTTAAACATATTTAATTATATAACAAAAGGATTTTTTCCATTATAGAACTTTGTTACTTTTGGTATCTATATAAAATGTTCTTGCCTCTAACACAGTCATCACTAAGAGACACTAAACTCTCTCCATTCCTTTGTACTATTTTCTAATGACTGTCAAATGATACCTGTAAAGATAATATATTATTAGTTATCATGGATGACTAATGTCTCTTTGGAATCTAAATTCAAACAGAACAATTTGTTTTCATTTCAACTTAGTCACAGTATCAATGGTTTGGGGGTATAAAGATGAGGGTAAACAGAATAAATAAAACAGTTTTCATAGCATTTGTAATTTTTAATATAAATGAGGAATATAAGGCCAAAATTTAGACCTAATCTTCCTCCCAGCTGCATATGTACATATATACACTGATTGTCAGCTGTACCTTGTTGCTTCTGTTTAAATAATTTTGATTAAATACAAACACAAAATAAAATTTATATCCTAAAGCATTATAGTACACTTCATAAGTTTCTTTGCGTAAGTTTCAGTGAACTTTTGCTCCTCGCACTTGATTTCAAAGTATCAGTGCAGGACAAAAGTCTGATCCATCAATAAAAATAGCTAGAACAGTATGCCCAATTTCTTCAGGGTACTGCATAGAAGTCAGAAAATTGAAGAGTGTGCAAGGTAAAACATTAACCTGCTTTACACATCGACTAGCATGTTTCAACCCTTCCACTTATCTACAATTTTCTGTCTTCAATATTTTCCTTGTTTCCATCAAACAAATCCAGCATACTAGGCTAAAGCCTAGAAAGGTTTGCCAAAGAATATTTATTTGTCAATCTCAAACATCTCTTGGCTGTACAGACTTAAATGAAGTACGATTATAAAACATTTACCAAAATGTACATATGATGAACCAGTTATGGCAAGAGCAGGTTAAGGGCACTGCGTCTTTAGAATACTCTATATTCATCACAAAATACTAAGGACATATCATGCAGTCAAATGTTCTTTTTAAGTTTCCCATTTTACATTAATCTGTCACCTCAGAATGGCTGCAAGGAATAAAAAATAAGCTCTGCCAAAAAGTAAATGTTACCCAAGAAGAAAATCAAAATTGGTCATTTCAAAAAAATTCAAAGTATATTCCAAACTCTGAGAATTATCAGAATAAACATTTTTGAATAAAAATAATAAAGGATTAAATAATACATTAGTGCAAACTTTACATAAAGATTTTCAGTTCTTTTTAAACTTCACTTATGTAAGAAAAATTACAAATAAAAATTGATTGGAAAGTATAAAAAACAGTATGTGCTATTTTCTGTACCCTTTCTGACAAATTTCATTGGATTTAGTCTCATCAGTTGCAACTGTTCATTCTTATAAACTCCGAAAGTATTTTCCAATGTTAAGTTAAAAGTGCCCTTGCAGTATTCTCAATTACTAAGTTAATCAATTTAAATGAAAAAAAAATATTTATACATAATTTTCTCTAAAGTAATAATTAAAATAATTTTCTAGAAATATAAAGTTTTATATAACAGATAGAAGACTTCAGCATACAACTGACAAGTGTTTTCCAGCATGATCAAGTCCTTATATATGAGGCACATTTTGACAACAAATATTAAATAAAGCACTTCTATAAGGTTTGTGGAAAACATGTACCTACAGCATAATTCTGTCCACAACAGAGAATTCAGGCAAGGTTTATTGACATGCATATAATCTGTAAACCAATACTTTGTCTAAGACACTTAACATTTCATGAATAGAATATACTTGAAAATAAACATATTTATGTTACCAAAAGTTTCAGCATTTAAAAATTATCTACAATAACTGCAATTGGACTAGTAAATGGCACAAGACAAGTTAAAGGCTTTTGAAAAAAAGTGAAATATTTCCTATGAAATAAAGAATTGAATTTCTTTCTCCATAGCACAATTTTGTGTATATTAACAAGACTGTTCTATAATAGATCTGCTATTGCCTAGATGTGAGGTAGGACAAGAATGCAATGTATTGGGGCAGGTACAACAGGACAATTGGCAGGTCAAACTTGTTCCATGGATTATGTTCTGATACAAGAACAAAGCTCAATGAGAGAATACAATAAATATAAAAAGGCTGTTCACTCTCTGAGAAAGAAGTTGTGTAATTCAGACAAACTAATAAATGTAAAAAAAATTAAGAAAACATATTTTTGTTTATGATTAAAAGATATATCTTCAAAAAAATTTTAAAAAACAATTTTCCTATTGTTGGAAACAAAGTTACTAAGGTAAAAATTATTTTTTTCTTCTTAAAAAATAAGTCTAATATTCCACAATTCTGGTAATAAAAATAAGCTTGTGTCAGATGGTTGAATATAACTTCAGAAGAATGCTTAAAACTTTTGGGACATGACAAGGTAGTAAGCCTCATTTCTTAGTTTATATTTATATTTACCTTCTCACAATGAACATAATATAGCAAATACGTATTTTAAAGAAACACATTTTTAATGTTATCTCTGAAGTATCACAGTTATGAAAGGCTTTGTATATGTCCCAGAATGCATGATAAGTATCATGCACCACTTTGCAAAATTAAGACCGCACACTATTTCAAACTTATTACAAAAATAAACTTCCATTCATATACAGATAATTACAAGACTGGAAGTACCAGAAAGTCACACTTCCAAATCTATTTTAAGGAGGACATTACAATGACAAGAGTACATAAATTTTAAGAAAGAAATCAGTACTACAATCTCTCTCATTGAGAATAATTTAACTTGTTTTATGTTCCATAAGAGAGATGACACAGTGGCTTTATATCATTTTCAAATACAAAGTCCTAGCATGAAAGAAGGCAGTTCTCTATAGATCAGAATTTTAGAACATTGTATGTTCCCAGCTGCATTAAGTACTGAAACTACTTAGAAATACTGAACTCTTTCTAAATGCTACAGTAAATAGTTGCCAAACCACCACTGAATAACATTTTCAAAATATTTCAAAATATGTTCCAGTGATAAGGTTGGAGGCACAATTGAAAGAACAGGAAAGCTTTCTACAATTATTTTGCTGAAATATCACTAATCTCTCTTACCGAAGACTAACTTGTTCACATAGGAAATGCCAACCTTCTGAATTTGACCACTGGAACATTTGCAGCATGAAAATGCTGTCTCAAACAAGATATAAATATACACATCCATGGAATTGCATAAAATTCCTCTGGCACAGAGATCAAGGCAAACTCTAGATGGCAATGCAGGATGAATTCACTTATCAATTTTACTCACAGCATGTTATGCAAGTTAACTAATGCAGCAGGAAGTTAACATTTATTTATATATTTACACAGAAGGCACTGTTTTCTCACAGAAAAATTTTTGTCACAAAATATAATCGAACAGCTAGCTTTTGGCCTTTTAAGTTTCAGAGACATAACAAGTTTTTTGACAGCTAACAGCCATCATCATTATAAATAAGAACTCATTATGTACAAATCATAGTCCATACTTCCATTATTGCACATTTTATTGTACATTTCAACATACAATTATCCAGTTTTCTGAATGCCCTTGGGCATACCTACTCCAAAGAATTATTTTCAAAATTCAATTAATACATTTGTACCAAGACTGGAGACTTCAGAACCGTATCCTTCTGCTGACGACGACACATCCATCCTTAGTGTACGCAGGACATATTAAACACTATTTTATTCGTTTTCGCTGACAGGTTTAATGGACTCAAGCTCGATCTCGACTCAAGGGTTGTCGAGCCAACGCTATCTACATGAGCCTACAAACCCTTTTCGATTAAATCAAGTCGAAGTAGCCGTCGTCGTGATAGTGCCATCTTTCTCGCATAGATTCTTCTTTTCGTACCAATGACGGGTGGTGCGCATCGATTAAGCGTTCACCCGAATTCACAAACTTCTCTCGACATTCGCGTTCGTAGGCTCTTCGTTTAGTTCGCGTTGGTCGAGCGTACTAGCACACATCACCTACACGGCGCCAGGAGCACCTCAATCCAGCAAGGGCACGCAGTCACTTCCTGCCGAGAGTATTTGGGCCCCCAGCCCTTCGCGAAACTGATCCGCACCGAGTTCGGGTCCGTGGGGCCGCTTTGCGTCAATTGCTCCAATTGTCTCCGGCGCCGACGCGCTTCCTCGGCTTTCGCGTGCTCGAAGACGTTGATGCAGTGACCCGGGGGAACACGATACACTAACAACGTTCGTGAATCCGGATCGTCCAGGGTGGGCGAGTTGACGAAGATCGGCCCATCCGACCGGTTGTAGGCCCACACGCCGTCGACTTCGCAGCTCAGTGTCACACCTGCGCATAGAAACGACAATTATGTTGTGGTGAATGGCTGAATGGTGATCGAGAAAACATATTTGCATCAAACGACTGGGTTATGAGAGTAGTTTTAGGTGAACATTTGTTAGGGGACTTATTTCATCGTGTAATTAATAGACATTTCAGTTATGAATAGATGTAAGGAATTGTCAACCCAAATGATTATAAATTATAATTATCAAAATTGAAAAAAATTAATTCTGAGCAATTCTCATATATAAAACATTTTCAATTCGACATCAATTCCCCCCCCCCGAATTTCGTTGGTTTTTAAAATATGCCTTTTAGTAGGGCCATAAATTATAAAAACAAAGACAAATTTCATCCCAAATAATTTCAAACCGGGGTTTTTTGTCTTGGCATCCGTATGAAAGAGAACAAAGCAATAAAAAATACTCAAACAACTTTTTAATACTTCGTGCAATATTTAGGGCCGAATTCAAATTTGGTGCGAACACGAATCAGTCACGTAAGGTCCCTTAAGCAGTTATAATATACATTTACAGTCCATGAAACACATTTTTTACATTTTTCGCGAAAATTGGGGAAACAAGTTAGCTGTTTTTTTAGAGAGAGGGAGCTTAAATGTTTGACCCGTCGATTGTTTTCGGGCACGTGAGCTGAAATGATTAGTCCCGTTAGTGGAGTGAACGTTTTATCTCGGGAGGTGGTGGTCATTTCCGCCAAGTGAGATTCAACGCCGACCCACACGGCGGCTTGCAGGGTATTTCCCCATTGAGATATCTCCCCAGCGGGGCACCGCCCGCCCCAGTCGAGCGAACGCGTCATCGACGTAAGGTATAGTTGGTTTCCCATTGTCTGGAGGATGGTGAAGAAGCGGAACGAAGCGAGGTTTTCGTGTTACTCACCGAGTCCGATCTTGGCGCGGGCGCGTCGCACGGCGTCGGGTCGCGTTTGGCGCCGCGCGGCCGCGCGGCGCCTCGCCCGCGCTGCCGCACTGCCTGCCGCTCGGCGCCGGCGCGCGCGTCGGCAGGGTGGAGAGGCAGAGGCCGTCGCCGAGCGGCCCGCCCCGAACACGTCGACGGAGGGCGCCTCCACGGCGAACAGGCGGCCCACGCGCACCGCCAGCTCCCAGTAGGCCAGGCGGCACCACGCGCGCCCGCCGCGCCCCGCGCCCTCGCCGCTGGCACCTGCGCACGCAACACAACACGCGTCAGCACTCCGCGCGCACAAACAAGCGTTGGACTAGTTATAAACTTAACAGTCAAATATGCAAGTACGTTGCCACCAATATTGTTAATAACTTAACACTAAGGTATCGTATTTTCTTTTTTCTTCTTTTGTCTTTTTGCAATTAATAAACAAGTTTTCAAAAAAAAATTATAAAAAGGTTTTATTGACCACGTAATGCTGGAGCCCGGCGTTTCGCGTACTATTTATACGCATCATCAGGTGTGAACAAAATATTAATATATCATAATAATTAATAATTCTAGACAATGTATTAATTTTCACCCTTTATGATGCGTATAAATATCATGGGAAACTGCGTGTTCCATCATTATGTAAACAATAAAACGCTTTAAAAACATTGTTACTGATTGACAAAAAAGAAAATTGAGTATTAAATTATTTATATTAAATTAACCACAAAGAAAGGACCTAAAAAAAGAACATTATATAGCATTAAGCGAAAAATAAAAATAAAACAATCAAGTTATATATGCGAAAGTGCTTACAAATTATCTGTACAATTAGATTAAACTAAAATTAAGTTAATTTCAGGTAGAAATTAAGAAATTTCCCGCCTCTCCAGCCGCCAAAACCGTAAGGCAGCAGTTCACAATTTATAGAAATATATATTAAAAAAATGCATTTCCACAGGGGTACTGTGGTGGGGAAAATAAACAGTCAGAACGCTCATCAACATGTTAGCTGCAAGAGGACGACGGAAACTCATAAATCAATTTTTGATGTTTTTGATTTTTTTTTTACATCGTTTTCATTTTTTTAGTTGTTTTGAGTAGTAAAACCGTTAAATATTAAATACCGTATTCACACCGTATTAAATCATCGAGTATTTCCTCTTTTATGAAAGGCATAGAACAGAGAAAATCTGTCGTTGTACTTTATTTTTCAATTATGTATTTATTGTTAAAAGCAAAATTTCATATTGACCTATGTAAGATAAATTCTGTTAATTTCTTTCCAGCGAAGATATTGAGAAGGGAAATTAAAAAGAATCAACTTCAACTTGAGGTATCTCCAAAACTTGGGATTTTCTCAGTTTCACTTGTCTACCGACGACGTAAGATAGGGGCAACCATCTCTGGCAACAAATGCTAGACGTCGCACGACTCACAAATATTAAAAGTAATTACATTAAAATCACGAAAACATCGCTCTTAGTTGATGTTAAAATGTTTACGGATAGCCAAATACCAATGTATTAGTCTCGCAAATTCGTCCACCGCCACTCCACACTCACTGTTCAAGGATAACGCAATATTGAAGAGCACTGCAGGCACAGAATTAAATTACAACACACATGGATCATGCACGGAGATGAATGAGGGTTCTTCATTTGAAGTCCAGAAAGTTAAAGATTTTAAAGAGTTGTTTTAACGACACATTGTAATTGAACAGACGTAAAATATGAGGTAAATACGCAGAACTGCGATTTGCGTAGTAAATCCATGATTTCTTTCTAGCTGAAATGTTAGCTAACTGAATGCATTTTTCTGATTCAATAGAGACAAACACACTAGTATTGAACGAATAATTGGCATTCAAATGCCTCCTCATGAGGAGTCATTCTAGCACAACCCTTCAATAAATAATGAATACAAATCAAATAGAAGTACTATTATCATACCCCGAAAACACCCTCCTATACTTGCGTAAATTGCATATTGGAGAATGAGTCAAAGTGTGCGCAGAGGGAAGTTCAAGGGGGCCTTGCCCCGTTTGAAAATTTTGAGCACCGTACCTTTACACAACAAAGCATCTTTTTTCATACACATGACAAATTCCTGATTTTCTCCCTTTTAAGACATACAATTTAGGTATTTGTTATACGACATTATTTTAGGGAAGAGGCTCTCCAACCCATCTGGCAACACCAAATTATTCAACCATATAGGAATTGGTTGCATTATTATTGGTTAACAAATTGATTGCATACATTGTATCAATAAAATGGTGGTTTTGTTCTCTTCGTAGGAATTTTCATTTATTTACTAGTATAATGTATCGTGTAAATATAATAGTTTAAAGCAAAGGGGGCCAAAAATGGTCTTCCCTCGTGTATTAGGCAATAGAGGCCTATGGGAATGAGTCTTGAGATATTAGAATTTGCTTGATGGAAACTACATTCTCTGAATCGCTGGAAAACTAAAACGATTTGTGTTGAAAGGAATGCGCTCTTCCTACCAATGCTACATAGCTGCCTCGCACCAGTTAGAAACTAAACTGCATTATTGGAACTGCTTGTCAACAGCTCTCCAAATGTTCTTGCGGGTTTTCATCATAACGAGTTCCGGAGACGTCCACGAGAGGCGCGCGCCATCGGTTCCGCAATTGGTTCCACTTGATGCGACCAGGTGGCGTGCGCGGGCGCTGCGATCGTCCCGGCAGCCCATTCACAAGCGGCGACGCCGGTGCGGCGCGGCGCGGCGGCGCACGGGGCCGAGTGCTAGGGGGAAGAGGGGGGGGGGGAGGCGACGCGCCACTGGCACGCGCATTCCTCAATGGATGCCGCACCCTGCGTCCTCGGCGCCCTCGAAGACGCTCCCGTGAGGCATCTCAACACGTGAGATCCATCGCCCCCCCTCCCAACACCACTCCCACGTCGTTTGTTCCCCGTGGACCGCCCACACCCACAGAGGGTTACACAGTTCAATTACGAAGCCCACCAAGGGCGGTTATTTTTAGCAACGTACTACTCAACTTCTTTGTCGCTCAAGCGAAGTTCATATCTATTTACAAATTAATGGTGAATGCTAATTTGAAACTGGAGGAAAGAACTTTTCAACATGCCAGTTCCTGACGTACAAGTATTTCTCTAAGCGATCCCGGTCATTGAACTCTCTTCTCACTCGCACCAAATAAGTAGTCAGAAAGTGATTGAGATTCAAGTTTCTATATTGAAATAATTCTAAATTTGATTAAACATTACTTATACAGGAATAGCCAACTTTAAGGTCCCGAAAATATTCATTATAAAAACAAAATTGAAGGTCACATTACAAAACAAAGTGCCCATTTCAAAACAAAATCTAAACAATTAAAAAATACATTTCTGGAAGTCTCAAATAAGTTTCCGAAATTATCAGTTTCTGGAGGTTATCTATACAAAAAATAAGCTCGATGACCAAGCCATCCAAAAACAAAACCAATTTCATGCCCCAATCGGTTTATTTTCTTGTCGTATCAGATGGTTCAGTTCTGAGGTCAAGACGAACATACAACTAAACAAAACAAGAAAATCTCTGTCATCGTGTAACAACTCCGATTTGCTCGTGTCTATTCGATAGAAGATGGACTTCTCTATAAGAATATGGGGTGAATATCGTACGTGATTCTTTCACCAATAGATCTTTTACTGTTTTGGAACGAATGTTGAGGGTAAGTATCACGAAAAATAAACACGATCGGAGTTGTTTTGGAATTACTTTTTTTTTCATGGAAAAATTGGGAATACTCAATTGAAAATACTTCACTAAGTAAATATTTATAAAATGTCAATTGCTCGGAAAGGGATTGGTTTTTTAGAATCAGAAGCGTTGTATGATCCAATTAACCGAAAAGAAACAACTGAGATCTGTACTCATCCATTTGGAATAGGAAAAAAATGTATTCGAAATAAAATACAAGTACGAGCAGTGAAACCGCACACTGGTAGGCGTTAATAATGAGCCAAAGTGAACTCTAGTATTTCGAGACATCGCCTCGGACCTATCGCCCCATGACGCGCCTGGCGCCAGTCTGATCGGAGAGGAGCCAGCGGAGAGGAGGCGGCGGCGGCGGCGGCGGCGGTGTTGCAGGAGGGGGCGGGTGGGTGGCGGGGGCGGCGGGAGGGCGCGCTGGCGGAAAGGGCAGTCCTCATCGCTCGTGGGCCGGCGGGGCGCGCGCCGGCCGGCGCCCGCGCGCGCCGCGCCGCCCGCCCGGACCCCAGATTACCGCAGCGCGGCTGCTGCCTACAGCCTGCTCGGCGGCGCCACGCAGCGCTCTCGTCCACCGAAATAAACGCGCAGATAGGCGAGGATTCCAAAGACTCGGAGCGGAGGCTCCCTCGGAAGAGAGACCACCGTCGCCCGCGGCGGCGCCTCGGCGGCGGCATCGCAGGGGAGCGGGGAGGGGGACGGAACCGCCGGGCTCCGGCGCCGCTCGCCTTCCCTCCCTCCCCGCCACTCCACTTCCATCGCCCGGCGCCTCGCAGAGGCCGCTCAATGGGCGCGCGAGGAGCGGCGGGCGGGCGACGAAGGCGGTTGGTGGTGGTGGCAGCGGCGGGCCGGGGCGGCGGCGGCCGGCTGACATCGAGCCTAAAATAAGGCGCCGGGCGCGCCGTGGGCGCCTCATGAGGCATAGGCGGGGGCCAGCGCGCGGGCGGCGGGAGGGAGGGAGGGGGGCGAGGAGGAATGAGAGCGGAGGGGGGCGGGCGGGCCCCCCGCCGTGGCCCCACCGCCCGCGTCGCGGCGCTGCGCGCAGAGCGGTAGCCTCACGCACACATCGCGACACGCGCCAGCGTCCGACCCCGCGGCGCTCGACAATGCGAGGGGACTATTTTCAAAAAGCCCCAGTACTGCAGCGCTGCCAATTCGCGGATACTCAAAACGCCCACTGTTCTATATCGGGGGTCGTTCGGTAATATTACTAAAACCCGATCGTCGAGTCCGAGGGGCAAAAAAACTTCATTTCGGGATGCATCGGCGAAAGACGACTAACGAGATACTCAAATCTCGGGGAAACAGCAAAATTTCAACGCAAAATACCTCCTCGTTTTGTTCAATCTTTCTTAAACTCCAATAAACAACAATTTCATCACACTTTTCTTTTATTTTCCCCCCTTTATTTATCGAGTGTAGAACATCGGCATTTCACGTATAAAGAGTTGTTTGTTGTTGTTGTTGTTGTTGTTGTTGTTGTTGTTGTTGTTGTTGTTTTTCGCAACGTGATTTTGTGTTGCTGGAGCAAACGCGGCGGCGAGCAGCGCGCGCGCGCGCGCGCCGAGGCGCTGTCGTGTACGCGCGTTCGCGTTGTTTTCATTCGCGCTGACGTCACTGGCACAGTGGGCACAGGCGCCGCCGCCACCCGGCGCGGCGCGGAGCGGAGAGGAGCGGAGCAGAGAGGAGCGGAGCGGCGTTCCAGAGCGCGCCCGGACCGGCGCGGCGGGGCCCTAGGGGCACCACGCAATGGGGTCCCCTCGCACTCAACATTAGAAATCAAAACGAGTTTGGAAAAAATGTAACCTTTGGAGTTTGGACAATTATTATTATTATAATACAAACATGCATGCACACATGCACATGCACATGCACACACACACACACACACCTACATATACATTCACAACACACACACACACACACTCCTACATATACATTCACAACACACACACACACACACACACACACACACACACACACACACATACTCCTACATATACATTCACAACACACACACACACACACACATACTCCTACATATACATTCACAACACACACACACACACACACACACATACTCCTACATATACATTCACAACACACAACTACATACACCCACATACTTAACTACACGCACACACATACACACACTTAACTACATGCACACACATATAGATACAAATGTAACTTAAAATAATCTTTGTCTATATTTTTGTATAGTCTTTTTTTAAATGCATTACTTATGATTTAAAATGTGAATTAAAGCCATTATTATCTTTTTGTATCATTAATACAAAAGTTTGAAATTATTTTCATACGTTCATGGAACAATTGCAAAGGTTCATGAAAATATGATTGACAATCACCTGCAATTAGCCCGTATATGTATAAATCCACCCCTCTATAATTAGCGGCAGCACTAAACGCAAAATCGACTGCACTGACAGTAAATTACAATTTTCTTTCCATGTTACATAATCTCATTTGAAAATAAGAACGTAGACTGAAAATGTTCCGTGTTTACGTAAAGCATTTACTCTACAAACTCTCTTAATACAAATCATCCACTGCAGCTGCCGACTGGAGGAGACATGATGCTAAACGGCTTTGAACACATTTTTTTGTGGCGATCACTAGCATCTTGTAATCGAGTGACAATGACTGGCAGAATCCTCCTACTCTTTTCTTGACTGCAGCCTGTGATTCTTCAAACCAATGTCTCTTTTAAAATAGAAGTCGCCGCAGCTCTTCTGACAAAACTAGTTTTTGTTAAAAGAAAATATGGATAGGAAAATTGTATTAGTCTAAATTAAAAATGTTATACAAAGAGCAAAATGTCAAATACCTAAAAATTAAATCAAATTTATAATAAATTGGCTATTTAATTTGTCACATAAACGTCACAGGAAAAGAAAATTTATTTTTCTTCTGCGTACCCTTCTTCCTCTGTACTCTAGTCTCTAGTAAATTTCTTTGTTTTTAATGTCTCTAGTAAATTTCTTTGTTTTTAATTTGGAAAGCTTAGGTACAGCTGAACCCTCAGAAAAGGGCACTACGCGCACATAATTGATTGTATAACAATCATTGAATATTTTAACTGGATGTAAACTACATGTTCGAAAATTTATACAGTCAAATTTATAGTCAAACTCAAACGGCAGAATTCCATTGGTTACTTTTCCCAAGCAAACAAGAGAATCGACAAGTATTGATTCTCATGTGTCAAATACCTCAGAAGTCAAAGAATAATTTCATTTCTTTGCTTTATTTAGTGCACATTTCAACGCAATTTCGTAATACGTTAGTCAATACTACATTACTTGATGACAAAATACTGAAAATCGAGGAGATAAAAGAGTATAAACAGAAAAAGAATACGATTATTAGAAATCATTCTCATCGAAAGTCATTAGGGAATCTCCACTGGCAAAAAACAGCCTCGGAGGAGATTTCAAGTTGGCGGACGTGACATAATCTCAGAGGGCAGAGTCGACCCTCGTGACGGGCAGTGACGGGAAGGGAAGAGCGCCAAAACCGCCAAGATTAGCGTGACGTCAATTGCGGACGAGTCCAAAGGAGCCGGCGCCGCCGCCGCCGCCGCCGCAGCCGCCGAGCCGGCGCCGTCGCTAAGACGATGCGTTGCGCAGTGGCGGCGAGGGCGAGGGCGAGGGCGATGGGGGAGGGCGAGGGCGAGGGCGAGGGCGAGGGCGGACACACTGCAGTAGGTTTGGCGAGTCGTGATCAGGATAAGTAATAATTTACAAATGGCAGTTGCAAAGACGACTACATTGACAATTACTGTGTCAAGAAATGTACAGTGAAGTAGTTTAAGACAAATGTACAACAACCAACGTTTTGGAGTATTCAGCATTTTTTTTAACGTAAGTAATGTTTTGTAACAAAAGTGAGCGCTTCTTTAAAACATAAAAGAGACTCAATTACGTAGTACGTTTTCTTTTACATTATTTAAATTAATTTGTCACAACTTCATAGAATACGTAAAATTGTGAGGGACGCGGAAATAAATTATAAATGTTATCACTTACACTACTACCTCATCTACTAGTGCCTCTGGGTAATTCTCAATAATATTTATTAACTTCCACGTCACAGCTACAACAAAACCATTTAATTTATCCATTGTTTCTTACTGAACGCTGTGGCATTCACGTTTGATTATTCCTTACCTCAAGTATCGGAAAGATTTACTGCAGCGCAAAGAAACTAAGAACAGAATTGCCACGAGCACAAATCGCATAACAGCATTCAAAGAGCTCGCCACCCAGGGATCTAAATCTCCGCACACAGGAGTAAATTAACATACAAGCACACCCTGTCCCACCGAAATGTCTCCGCATATGGGACTGACGCGTGTGATCTGACGGAGCCTCCGTAGGGGAGGGCGAGGGCGAGAGGGATGGCGTGAGAGACGGCGAATAACATGGTGGAGAGGGGGAGGGGAAGGGAGAAGATATGGCTGGGTGGGGAGGGG